GGTGGGGATCTCTATGGGAGGAGGAGGTGGGGAAAATGCTGGAGCGGCAGGAGGCAGACAACGATGTCGCAGACGCAGCCACAGACGACGCCACTTGTCTTGTCGTGCCTCAAATTAATTAAAGACTCATCTACATATTTCATTTCCACTCCAACTGGTTGTTTAGTGGACAAGAAAAAGCCGCGGCCAGCGAGAAAATGCGGAAAAACAAACCTGGGCAACTGGGGGATAATGGAGACTGTGGATCTCTCTGCGGGCGCCTCTGAAATTGGCCTGTCACTGGTCACGCACTCCGAGGCGGCTTAGGGTGGTTAGGGGGCGTGGTTCGGTTCGCTTTTTTTATTCATGTAAAACAATTTACAGTTTTTTAACATCTTTCTTAAGACATATTTTTTTGGGCATATTTAACATGTGTTTGTTTTTACATTTTACAACTTTTTTCCGCTTACACATATGTATATTTTTTTAACATAATTTCTTCGTTTGTTTTTCCCCGTTGATGGCTTGTATTAATTTGTAAGAACTCACACACATTGGGTGTTATTCAAATGTGGTGAACTTTCACTGGAAAACTTTTACCTAATCGGCTTTTATTTCGTGGTCTCTCCTCTGGTGGGCCAAACCACTCGAACTGGAACTGCCCATACTTTACACATTATTAGTCTAATTTAATCAAATGAAGGCATTCTCAGTAGTCGCATTCATTTTTCATTAATGAATTGGACCCAGATGGAGGCCAAAGTATTAGTCTGAAAACGGTAGCGTTGATAAATCTAATGTATCCCAGGGAGAAAGCCAAGAATTCCACCGCAAGGGAAATTCCAATCTAAATTGGTAATGTCAGTGCCCATCATCGGTACGAATAGATCTCATCCGGGCGATATGACATCGTTTTCCATTATGATTTGTCATTCCGGAGATATTGCAACATTTCCCAAATAAGATAAAATGGATTTTTGTGGGCGTTTTTCTATCGGGTAAACAACCCCTGGAGTCTGGGACTGTCAACGCGATTGTAATTTATTCTTTTGCGTACTTGCTTTTATCGGAAATCGGCCAATAAGGTATTCAATTGCAGGATATCCTTTCCATCCACAAAAATGCATTTCGAGGACACACAAAAGATAGGAAGAGGGTGCGAGTGTTGGGTTTAGCCAACTGTGAATTCAATTTGGCACTCCAGCGTTTTGTTTGTGGATGGGTGCTAATTTGAGATGCCGGAATCCCGAAAAAGATACGGATTGCAATTTCTTTTTGGGGTGGGAACTGTCGCCAAGGTTTTCCCATCGCATAAGTAGGTCTCTTGGCATTTTTCCCCCCTCGGAATATATAAAAAAAGCAATCACCTGCAAATGCTAAGCAGATCGGCTTATCATACCGCCCACGGTTTGATTTATCGCCGTTTATCTACTCGAGTGCAGGCGGCACACAGCTTCTTGTCAAAGATTTATTACCCGGCCAAACGACAACTCAATAAAGCGCCACTAATTGGGCTTTAATAGACAGCGACAGTTGTTAACTCTTCATTGTCATCTGGATCGGGGCTTATGCATATACATCTGCTCAAGTCCCCATTGATTGATATGCTCGCCTTCGATTCAAATCAAATTGTCAAAATATGCTGCCCACGATCATAAATTAGGCGGAGACTATACAGATGCCACAAAAGACGGCGTGGCACGGTAGTGAATGCTTCGAGGGGTTCGAGGTCCAGACAAAAGCGGATAATGCCTCGCTTTCAGATATTCCCAGAGATATTCTTTTTACGACCATTGATGGCTGGCCATACCATACCATATTATGTTAAATAACCACAAAAGTGATCGTAAATTTTCATAAAATGTCACGCCAAAACGTCACACTTTTTTGTCAGCATAATTAAAAATATAATAAAAGGCAATTCCATACATATATGCATGGATTTATTTAAATGCCTGGTGACTATTTCATTTTTTTTGTCAACTCCAACTTTTATTGAGGGCCTGCACATAAATTTCAACATTACCAAAGCCAGCCCATCGTCTGTCGGAGAAAATGAAGGTCTCATTTGCATAAATTAAGCGCCCTTCGCCTTAACGGATCCCTGTCCAAGTTGCAGTCCCATCGATCCATCCATCGATGACAAGGAAGCCCAGAACCCAGCCCAAAACATAACTCAATCGAGCACCTTCCGAAAATGCCAGCGATTTGACAGGCATATTTTCTGACATTTTAATTATTGTCAGAGCGTGACAGCCATTGGAGGCGATTTTATTATTGGTGTCTTCGGGGGCTCAACTACGTGCTTAATATGTGGGTAATTTAAAGCAGCTCAAAAGCGTGCCAGGAATTCGGATACATTTTAATTTTGGAGTTCGAACTTTGGATTTCCCATTCCCCTTGGTTCAATGAACTGCACTCAACGCCTGATTGAACCTACTTACTTCCCCACAGGCACATTTTCGTTGATGGATCAATAAAAGATCGTTCGATTATCAATATGCACTTATTTCACACCTCAAGCAATTCCGTATTGTTATTGTAGCGGCTGCGATAACACACATAATAATGAGCTGAGCAAATTGAACAGATTTCTATGACTATTACTGGAGAAAAGATAAATTGGATGGAAAGATTGGGTGAAAATTAATTTTCTAATTGAAATGAGTGGGAATATTTATCCTAATTTTAAGATATGAATATTAGATAATATTTAAAACATTACAAATCATTAAATTAACAAGAAAAGCACTTTGAGATGATTTGTAGGGTCGGAAATGACTACTTCACTGCCTTGAAGATTTCTCATAGAATATATATAAAATTTTAGATATAAACTATAAATTAATTAAAACAAATTAATAAATAATAAAAAATAAAAAATAAATAAATATAATTAAAAAAAAAAATGAAATGCTCAATCATTGAACTTAGGCCCCGGCGAGATTCGAACTCACGATCTCCTGTTTACTAGACAGGCGCTTTAACCAACTAAGCCACGGCGCCACATGCCGTGAACCTCGCTAAAGTTCTGTGACAAGCTGAGAGAGCCCGCTCTTTGTGTGTGTTCCTTCTGCACTCTCATTCAACTTTTTGTTCTTCAAGCTAAAATTAGCAACATATAGTGTGTGTGAATGAGACAGAACTAGCGGCCGGAGAAAACTTTCCCACAAGAATAAATATAAATTATTCTTTTTAACAATTTAATACGCTAAAAGTTGTCGCTGTCCGAAAGGCAGCGTGTACCCCAAGAAGATAAAAAAGAAGAAAAATTACTTTTGTTAACTCGAGCAAAACAAATCGTTTTTTAAATGAGGCTCGGAGAGAAAAAGTCACACCACGACAGGCACAACACGACGCAAGTGAAATGCAACACCACATGGCATACGGCAAAGTGAAAGGCTGTCGCTGGGCTCCAAGTCCCCTCTGGTCACCCCCACCCCTTCGATTTTAACAAATGAACTGACGCGCTTAGCATGTCATTTGTTTAGTTTATTCCTTCTGTTTTTCTGTTGTTTTTTTTTTAGTATTTACAAAAGAGTTGGAGCAGCGGAAAATCCAATGAAATCCACTAAAATGCAATTGCCAAACACTCCAGAAAAAAAGAAATGGAACAATTACTCATGGGAATGGGAAATTTCTGGGGGAGGGAAATTGTAAATCTAGGGAATAGGGAATAGGAAAAGGGAACGGGTACGGAAAAGGGAACTGCATTGGGAAGGGAGAATGGGAGCACAGCCTCTTCTTGTTGTTGTTGCTACTGCATTTACACTATTTATGTTCTTTTTCCTTTCGCCGAAACTTTACAATTTCCGTATTTTATTGGAGGGTTAAGGGGTATTTGGGGGGAGGTAGAATGATGCCCTGTAAATAAAAAACGCATGCCTTTCCCCTGTTTTTGTTTAGGCAAAGTTGCAACCGAAGTTGCAGTTGCAGTTGCAATAAAAGTTGCATATACGGGATAAGCATGTGGGCCATAAATTGCCCACCTATTGACAGCAATATTTTATGATATTCCCGCCACTGTTTATCCACTGGCACAGTTTCAGATATATGCAATGAATCCCCAAGTTATTCATCAGATATTTCCCAGTTTATTACCCAGTATTTATTGTTTTTATTAACAAATACCGGCCGGCATGTGTGTGCTTCTATATCCCTTTTTTATGCCAAGGATTTCACATCAGCTGTCCCATAAATAATGTCTTGTTAAGGATTTAATGGCTGATTCGCAGCTCAAAACTTTCTATCAGTAGTTTGAAATGCATTTTTTCCATCACTCAAGTGGCCACTCAGGGTCCCGTCCATAATCTCTAATAATAATTTTTATTAGGAACACAGGCATTTCCTTGCCACAGCAGCTGGCTAAGATTTCATTTCTCCAATTGCTCCCGTAACAAGCTGCTGTGTATTTATAAATTGATGTTTATTGTGTGCACTAAGTGCAGTGAGTTCATTGAACGGACCGCGGCCAAGTGCTGACACACTTTGGCCAGCCAACCATCCAACTGCCAACTGACAAAGAGGCCGGCCTTCTCTTCCCACCTCCTCCTTTTGGCCCTCCTGCCATGGACCCCACAAGTGGTTTGACCTTAAGCGAACCTGAACTTGAATTTGGTGTGGCTTTTTCCTCGTTCCTCAAGTGCAAGGCGGCGCAATTTCAATTAACCTGCCGCGAATCGAGTCATAAATAATATCTCACTCAAGGGGCGCAGTTGACAAATTTGCTTAGCAATGGGAATCTATGATTTACCGGGTCCCCCTACTATGTATTTTATTAAACATTTATTGCTTAACCCATGCCTTCGAGCGGTTAACTCAATCTTTTGCAAACTGACAGCTACCCAGGTGTCGGATGTGTAATTAACAAACTTTTCGGACAGGGATAAGCCTTTTGGCCATCACCGACATCCTGGCACCTGGGCCCAGTTAGTGGGTCAGCCCGCAAAAATCAGGTCTCCACTTCAGCAAACGTGTGATTGATAATTAATTAATATGCTTTCTCTCCATTTCATTTGCAGCGATTCTCCAGCGATCCACCGTGGATGTGGGACGCATCAAGCTGCAGAGTGTGGCCACCTGCCTGTATCTGTGCATGGACGCGTGCGGCGTTGCCTATGGCTCGGTAAGTAAGCTTAAAATATTGTACAGAATAAATAAATATATGTTATATGGGATTAATTTAATAATTCGGAAATTTTAAGGAAGCTAAAATAATGACAAGAGATAACTGGGCAAAAGGAAACAACTTTGAAGGTGTAAATACAAACAGAAAAGATAATTTTTTAAATAAATTTAACTCCTATATAATATTCCTTTAAACCTAGATTTTTTTAATTAGCAATTTTTATACCCTTTGATTTGATATTATAATTTTAGTTAGAAGCTTGAAACGCTGAATAGAGTATTTTTCAACTCTGTAAATCATAATTATTCTTGATCAGAATCACCAAACGAGTCGATTTAGCCATGCTCGGTTGGAAAATACATTTTACGAAATTTTTTCATCATTTCAAAATTTTACAAACGGTTCCATCATTAAAATTGTGAAAAATTGGAAAAACTTAAATATTTTAAATGTTAACACAAACTATTTCTAATTTTTAGCCCTATTAATCTTTCTTTATTAAAAAAAATTTTAATATTATAAGCTTATCTATGAGTCATAGGCTATGACCGATTTTTTATTTAATCGTATAATTTTATTACAAACTGCAGTAGCATATAAACTTGCCGAAGTTTGAATAATCTTGTACTATATGTATTGAACCTAAATTTTTATTGGAATAGTTTCAAAATTGCAATCATATTTGATCTTGACTCTTTCTTTCAAACAATGAACTGAATGATATTGATTTATAATTGTCTGGTTCCGTCGTTTGCTATTGTTCCTATTAAAATATACTCTCTAACTTGATAACTTTATAGAAAATAACTCAAAAAACAAAGCATCCTTATTATCCCAACTCCCTGAACCGCGAAATTGATTTCTAGTTACAATTTTCCGCTCCCAGATAACTAAATTTGGTGTATGCACCAAATATTCCTATCGGTATCTTTCGTTTCTAGTTCATTGTTTGGCACCCCTTCGGTACAGAAAACAAAAACAAACAAAGGCCTGTTAAAAGATTGAGGTAAACCGAAAAAAAAAAATAGGAACCCAAAGGGAGGACACTCAAATAAATGAAAGGGCGACCGAAGAGGTCGGGCAATAAATAAAAATTAAATGTGAACAAAAACAAAGCAACACGATCAGCAGCAAAACACAGAAGAGTCCTGCATTCGTCCCTTTTTCCCTTGGAATGTGTCCTTATGGTCGATCGGGCAGGTCCTCGAGTGGCAACTGATGGCGGCCGCATGTCCTCGAGTGTGAGTGTGAGTCCTCCCCCCACCTCCATCCGAGTCAAGGCGACACTTTATCCCGATCCTTGATTTCGTCTGCCTTGAGGATGCCTTTTTTGGGCTGGCGCCATGCAACCGCTTCGGATGCGCTTCAATGGTCCGGCGGACATTAGTTTTTGATTTGAATTTATTTCTTTTCTTTCCGCCCGTCGCTAGCACTTTGACCTTTTCGCATCCGAAATAGCAGCGTTGTGCCAATTCTGTCAGCCGAGGCGTGTCCGCATCCACGCTCGCGCTTGGTATCTTGCAGATACAGATACTTTGCTGATTGATGCGCTTCACCAGCGGCAACTTTGTAGGCGGCCCTTTGAAGGCGCCGCGTGCCTAAGAGAGAGAAAAGAGTCTATAACATAGCCAACATATCTTTAAGTTGGTCAAGTGGGCGGTTATATTAGGCCGTCTAGTTTATTTTGGCATAGGATATATCTTGGACACTCGGAATACATATCTCTCAGATATATATAATAGAGAAAAGAATTTGTTTTATAAAATATTTTCTAGAAAATTAAAGAATCATATCCATTTTGGGCTCGTTTTAAAAGAATATATAACCAAGAATTCCGCAAAAATACTTTTAAAATATCTACATTCCATTAACACTGGTTCACCAAACAAAAATTGTGATTACTTTGTGGTATATAGTGCATATGAGATATAGAAACACTTTAAAACCCTGTGGTTTACCCACAGTTTAAATATTTCCCGTCATTTTCTATTCATAGGCGCCTTTTGCCTGGTGACGGTTTTAATGGCATTTCACCATAATATTTCAAGTATTTTCGTCCGATCTTGTGACCACCACCGAAGCAGGTGATTTTCGGCCTTGCTAATTGACCAGAAAGAATACAAAAAGCCTGAAACGTTTGCCAATTCATAAATTCCAACCCAAACCTCTTGTGAGTCAGCGTCTCGTCCAATTAAAATGTCGTAGCCATAAATGTTCACATTACGGTTTTGCTTATTAATTTGCATAATTTGTTCTCTCCCAGCGAGACGGACCGCCCGCGGTGTAAACCTGGACTGGGCTTGGTCAATTAATGCGGAGCGGACCCAATGAATATGTTGCATCATTATCATCGTTATTGTCCTGTTTCGAAGCGATAAGTGGCGGAGCACGTCACGCGGTGCACGGGTTGAGTTCCCCTAAGTGGTTCGGTTACCGTTCGTAGGTGTTCCCTGTAATCTCCTCCGAACCTTTCTCCTAGAGTCACCTGGTGGCGCCACTTGATAAGCTTCAATGGAAAGAGAGAGGGAGAGGGAGAGGGTCTAATGGCTTCAGTCTCCGGGTGTAACATACCTTATCAAAGTACAACTTCATTTCCCTTTGGTGTCTGCCAATTTTCACTTGCAAGCCATTAAAGACTAAAAATAAACCAAAATGCCTGGAAATGCCTATCATAAAAAGGGAGTCTAGTGGAGGGGCGGCGCACACATTGTTGTCACATACTTGGTATGTCAAAAAACTTGTCTCGACTTGACTCGACCTCGGGATCGGGATCGGGATCGGGATCGGGATCGGGAGTAGCATCATCGGGCTCCTGGCCTGGCCCTGGCCCTCACCCATTTGATGGCTCATTTCGGGACGCCTTTTGCCTGATTAATTTCTAAATTTAAGCGGCGACATTTCACCGACAATGGGTGCCTCGCTGTCGTTTTATTTGCGAAGCAATTTTAATTGCCTGACAAGCGATTTAATTCAATGTTGTTAATTGAATTTGATCTGCAGATGTCTGGGGCAGTCGGCGCATCCAAAAGGCCACAAAGCAAAACGGGGGCTTTGCTGAGAATCCTTTCTTTCCACGCTCTCGATTTACATTTTTCTTACCTAGCTAAAAAAATGTATAATTCTCAGTCCCAGGTAATTATTTCAACTGGCTCCTTGGGTCCTTTTGTTCGGCTGTCATGAGGTGTTCATAAAGTAGAAATGTTTATGGCCATCGAAGGCTATCGATGGTCAACGCCGATAGGAGCACATCCTGTGATAATGAGCGCATTTATCCATAAGATTGCTCTGGCGATAGATAAAAGATACAGACGCCGCCCCTGGACAGTAAATTCAAAGAAGTTTTATTTTCAGTGGGGAATGTGGCTCATTATTCGGATTCTGTGGAAGTTTGGAGAAGACAACTAGTAACCCTTTGAAGAAGCCTAAACACTTATTGGTTACAAGATTTTTAACTATGAATTTCCATGGCTACTGGTAGATATTTTTAAAGGGCTAGTTCCTGTTTAATATCTTAAGTTTAAAGCTTTTGCTCTTAAATTAATTTAAAGATTTTGAGTTAAATATGCTTAAAACATTTGAATTTGTTAGAAGCTATTGCTGACTAGAGATCTATACGTATCTTTCTGAAATTTTAGCTTCACTTCTTACAAAAATATTATTAACTTAATATTTCAAGACCAGAGTATGGTTTCTCGCATTCTAAATTTCGAATTTTCCTTAGCATAAACTTAGCCCTACTTTGAAACTCCTTCCTTAGTATTAAGTACTCTTTTCTTCCCATCTTTCTTTTGCCAAATAATTTAATCACAGTCCTTGATTGTTGCAGAAAGACTTCACCGACGACTGTGTCTTCAACGAGAACATGGGTCTGCAGAACTACAACACATACTCCTCCACCTACAACTCGAACGCGCGGCGGGTCTTCTACCTGGCCCTCAATGGCAAGGGTGAACTGCGTCGCACCCAGATCTCGGCCAGCCGATCGCTGCGGAAGCTGAGCACCTACACCAATGCCATCACGGAGACGGTGCCGCAGGATCGGGTGGAGCAGCTGATCGCCAAGAATTTTGGGGCCAATCGCGTCAAGCACGGCGTACGCCAACTCTGTGATACGGGCAAGCCGCTGATACCGCTGATCGATGTGGCCCACTTTAAGGCGCCGCCGCAGTGCAGCGGAAGCGGAAGTGGGAGTGGAAGTGGAAGCGGAAGTAGTAGTAGTAGTAGCAGTGGTAGTAGCAGCAGCAGCAGCAGCAGTGCCAGCAGCCTGATTAGTATTAGTAACAGTAGTCAAAGCGAGAGCGGCCATATTAGCAGTAGCCTTAGCAGTAGCAGTACCATTAGTAGCACCCTTAGCAGTACCCCTAGCAGTAGCAAGGACAAGAAGAAGCGGCGCAAGTGCCGGCCCCATGAGCAGGAGGATCTGCACCAGTGCCAGAAGCGGCCAGCAGCTGGAGCGGGTAACCTGCGGAAGCTGGGTCCCAAGGCCCAGCTGTGCAAGGAGCTGCGCGCGAAGGCGGCCGCCGAGGGAGGACCGCCGCCCAACTGTGGCAAGAAGAATGGTGGCAAGAAGCAGTCAGGTGCAGGTCCTAGCCCAGCAGAGGGCAAGGGCTTGCAGCACCAGCGGGGCAAGGGCAACATCCAGCCGGGTGGCAAGCGGAAAGGCAACAAGGCCGGAAAGCAGCGGCAGAATGGTGGCAAGAAGCAGCAACAGCAACAGCAGAGGCAACACCAAGCCAAAGCTGTTGCCGGTGGCAAGCGCAAGCAGCGAAAGCAAGATCTTTTGTCCACCAGCAGCACCACCACCATGGCCACCAGCCTGGCCACGCCGCCGGAGAGTCACTGGGAGAGCAGCTCACCCCTGCCTGCATTGGCTCTCAGTGAAACCAGCGATCGGGTGGAGCGCAATGTGCGCCTGGCCAGCGGCGAGGATCTGGAGCAGGATGGTGAGCAGGAGCCCGAGGATCCCGAGGACACCGACACCGATGGCGGCTCCATGGAGGATGCCAGCTACGAGGATGCCACCTCCGAGGCGCAGGGACGCAGCGGAGCAGTTGGGGATGATTCGCTCTACTACGATTTGTAAGTTAAACCCTAAGCAAATTCATTCGAAATTTTCCAGAGCTAACTCCATCTTTTCTCACAAATCGAACTACACTAAGTAGAGATTTTTCTAAAATATATTTTTGAGCATTTCCTCAAATAACTTGTATTGGCAATAACTTTTTTATACATATTATTTTTTGGATTGGCAACTGAATATTTTTCTAAATTTAAAACCATTTACCTTTTGGCATTAACTTTAACCTGAAATCTTTATAGATTTTAATAGATATTTTTGAAAATTTATTAATCTACTTTAGTTATTTCTCACATTTTGTATTTTTTGATTTCTTATTATTTGGTTATTGTGTGTTTTTCCAAGTATTTTTCAAAATTTTAATATTTATTTGGGTAAACTTAAGATTTGGTTTGGCGAAAAACATAAATTCAAAACGTTCAAAACGTTCAAAATGTGAAAAATCTGAGAGAAACGAGAAGGGAGAACCGAGAATAGACTGGCCTGAGTATGGAAAAGATATTGTAATTGCAAGTTTTCACAATCAGTCACCTACTATGTACATACATACACCGCATTATACTGCACCTTCCGAATTATATCATACATACATCACCAAGCCAGTGTGTACATACCTTTTACATCACCCAAACGTACCAACTTCCCTGGTTCAATATAATATTTTTGATGCAGCGGACTGTTGTCTCCCCGGCGATGATGCGAACCCCCTTAAAGACGATGAATATCGAATGTATTACGACGGAGTCTCGAGTATTTTATAAGAACCTCTCAACCCATTGGAATATATAAATATATATATAATCGAAATGTATGATAAAATGCACGCACGTCCATCCCAATCACAATTATATAGATGTAAAATATCGAAAAATGCCATAACCTTATGAAAAAGAGTCTATTGAAATACTTGAGTCTCTGCAGCGGAAATTTCACGTTGATGAAAATACTCAGAAATACGATCACTCCGAAACAAACTCCAACAGATAGAAACTGAAAACTTGCAAAGAGCTATTCCCAATGTTAATAAAAAACAAAGCGAAGAAAATTCGAATATGTTACCCGATTTGTCTGAAAATTGTTTGGATAAGAATTTTTGAAAATCAAGGTTTTGGCAAACAATCTTTTGACAAAATGCAGATACACGGTTTAGTCGTAAGATACAGTTTTTTATCTTTGTATTATCGAACCTCGCTGCTTCTCAGTGCTTAGCCTAAGCTCTGTAAATCAATTTTGAATAAGAACTTTCCCAAGGGAAACCCCCAATCGAAACTATGAAGCCAACGATACATCGAAAAGAAAGCAACTATTATGAATTAGAAACCAGAGAAAGGATTCAGAAATCAAAACATTGTATTTTTACTTACAGATACTTATGCAACTAACATGTAATATTAATTTATTTAATTTAATTTCGACGAGAGATAAGCGTGAAATTATAGATTGTAGCCTGTACTATTTGAGTTATTTATTTATTTGAAAATATTTATTTATAAAACTACAATTAAGATGACTCTAGGCCTTAGACTAACAAAACTCTGTTATAATTGCATTATACAAACATTTTCCAGATAAGTGAGTAAATGAACCATGAAAAGAGCATGAGAAAAACGCGATAGCAATTAAACTAAAAAAGAATAAAATTAAAAGTACATTAATATCAAAATTGAGAAAGTGTTTTTTAGTCAATATGGTAAGATGAGTGATATACTGGGTATATATTGCATGGAATTGAATTGTTTTTATTTTTTGCACGTTGCTCCATTGAAGTTTGAATAAATTTAAATCACTATACATTTCATTTAGTTCTGGCATGGTTTTGTGTTATATCCTCTCTATAAGTCCGCACCCCAAAACCCTCTTCTATAATGACTTTGTGCCCTTTCCAGCTTGATCCTGCAGATGATCACCTGGGCTTTCCTCCACACAAGAGTCAGCCTGTAAAGAGATCCCTCTTTCTATCGAGGAAGTTAATTCATATATTGGACCACCGATCCACACAACAAAGCTAAAGTTCCTGATCTTTAAGCATAAGAGTTCTATCATTAAATCTACACTTAGCATAGACTACTTTTCGTATTTATCATTAAGACTGAAAGCAGAACTCGGAGCGTACAACTAAGCTCTAACTACTGTAAATAAAGTATTCAAATATTCAAAAAACCAAAGTGTTTGTATGTCTAAATGTCTGGAAAATTTATAGCGGCGGGGAATATTTCGTATGCTGATTAAATCCAACTGTCACCATTATGGCACACATTGATTACGCTGGAAACAGGTGAGCAGATAGCGTTGATTACTCCGGAGAGCTAGTCGCACCTTGCTCGGCTTTCTCTGAGAGCTGGAAGCTCTCGGTTTTCCGCTCTTTCGTTCTCTCTGCTGGCGTTATATGCTGATACCAGCTGACTACAGTCAAAGACCTTTCCCATATGGCCAGTGGGTGACAGCACGTGCCGCAAGCGTAAAGATCATGTGGTCGCCGCAACTAATTCGCGAGAGATCTCAGAGCGAGACAAGTGCGGCAATTACAGGTGTCACTACTATTAAAAGTCCATAAATTTAAAAAACTCGAATGTCAGTTTGTTAATTTAAAATTGAAATGTATATTTGAATGATATAAGAGTAACAAAATAAGCTTAAATCAGTTCGTAATAGTTTTTGTGCTACTGAAAAATAAATGGAAAATTTTTGTAGTCACCTTAAAATTTATGGTTTTACTTTAGTGTAGTATATCTATAGATATATTAACCAGGATTGGGTAACTAATTAAATTAGCTAGATTTTATTTCGCTATAAATTTTATATAGATAAGAACTGGCTTTAACCAGAAATATTTAAGGTAAATTTTTTATAAAAATTATTATTATTATAACAATGGTATTAACAGCAATTACAAAGTGTGAATAACTTTGATTTTTGTTTAAGCAATAGCAACGAATTATTTATAAATATGTAAATATATTAACTGAATTATTTATATTATTATTATTGATTGATTTCTATTTGTTTTATTCTATTACTTCCGGTGAATTTCTTAAAGATCTTATAATTAATTCAGTGGCTTAGGAACATTTTAATGAATTTATTTATTAATTGATTTATTATGTATCCCTCAACAGATAGTTTCTACTGTAATACCTGCATTATAAATGGATAATAGAGTTCACTTTAAGCTTGGAGACTCTGCACCCCCACAAAACCCAGACCCGCTCTGCTCTCGATCCCCATCCATATCCCAGAACCGCAGTCGGAACCGCATTTGGTGTGTTGCTCCCCAGTTGAAATCGTTCCGATTTCCCTGTGTGAGACAAGTCACGTAGGCCTTGAAATGGTGAAATTGCTGCTGCTCGCCGTCGCTCATGTTCCCACATTTGCGTTCATTCAGACGCTGCTGAATTTTTCGCATGAATAGGCGAAACACGAGGCGGCGGCGGCCGCCCAGCCCCACAGCAGCCGAAAAAAAGAAGAGCCGAAACGATCAGAAATCAGAATAATAAAAGAGAGAGAGAACCCCCAGACCAAAGACCCAACCGCGGTCGAAGCTCGGACCATCGGATAGACCGGGAATCCGAGTTCTCTTGGCAACATAACATTCTGCTTCCAGCAGTGAGCAAAAAGCTGGCGTAAGCATAAAATGAGCGGGTGACGTCGCCGGCGCACGCTCCCCACGCGCATTTCCGGGCCTTATCAGCTCAGCTGATTCAGCTGCTCTTCTAACGGGGATCATGATCACGATCATCATATGGCCACCATATCGCAGCTGGCAGTCTGAGAGCGTTAATTGCTTGGCTGATTAAAAGAGTTCAATTTGGGAGAAGCCCGCGAACTAGTGGCGCTTACGTACTATATAGTATATATATTTGTATTTTTGATAGCTGCTCACAATGTCACATAAGGCGTTGTTTTTGTTTACCTTTGGGTTTTGGGCTGTCAGCAGCTAATGACCGCTATAATTTCTAGCTGGAATATGCCCCCAAGAGCTAAGATTGCATTTTGTTTTAAGGTATTTCCTTTCACTAAAGCACGTCATTTAATACTTGCATCTTTCTGAGGGTAAAAGTGTTTAAGAAATGGTACGATTATTACAAAATAAAAGACTTCTTAAAACGTATATTTAGATAACATTATTAAATTGTATTTAGTTTTAAAGGCTATACAGATTGAGCAGTCAATTAAGTATTAAAATAACCAATTATATAAAGACTTGGACTCAGCATACTTATTCTATTAAATATTACTATTAAACCAATTTTTCTCCCTGTCATTTATATTCCATTAATATCTTTCATTACATTCAAATATTTGATCATTGTACAATAAACATTACAATCTTTTTAGCAGCATTTACAATTTAAGGTCTACGTGACGTATTGAGAATATGCCCCATGGCTTTTTGGCTTATTCACTTAAATCGAGTGTGGGTATACCCGCCAAAAAGCCACCCAGTCTTACCAGCTGCACCTGATCAATGTCAATGCCATGGCCATTAGCAGTATATAGCGAAATAGAGTGGCAGATTAGGTAGATTTATTAATGAACGCCCACTGAAATTCGGTGAAATTAATTTATAGACATGACAAGTAACAACCAAACTGCAATTGGAATCCTCATGTGTGGGATATAGCTTCTAGTTTGATCGAGGCTTATATATTTAAGGTGGCATCATTGCTTTAATCAATTAAAACAAATCCATTCATGGTATTTTTTCATGTTTTCTATTATATCCACGAGTCAAAATATATCATAATTAATACCTTGTTTAGTCAGTACATAAATCTTAATAAGAATTCCTTTTTGTAAAATAGAAAAATTACATTTAATAAGAAAGGAAAGTTGATTCGGAAAGCCAAAGTTTATATAACCTGGCAGTTTGCACTTGAATTATAGGATCGTATCGGAAATCCATCATAGCAATAAAGACTTTGAGACAAGGGAGATGTAATTAATAGATGACTGGTATAAAAACCTTAGAAAACATAGTACAATTTACCGAAAACGAACCTCAAAAAAGGTTTCATTCTATTGCAACAAATAACCAAATAATAAAATAGATAAACAGATATTTCTTTAGCAGCATACTTGAGCGCATTCCTAAGTTAAATTCAATTAAACAGATTTCAATCATACGGACATGACGGAAATGTCAGAATCTCTCTCCATACCCGTTCGCCGATCCCCGATCCGCGATTCCGATGATACCCGGACCCCTTGATGGTGGCCAGCCGCCGCCGCCACCCTCTGGCCGAGTCTGGTTTAGTTGCATTTCTAGTTCATGGCCTGCATTGCGTGAATATGATGAATACGCTTAATTGGATTAGCTGCGATGTCTGCCGGGCGGTGACCATGCCGCGCACTGCCGCCGGGAAATGAGAGTGGAGGAGACGGCGGACCAAGGAGTCAAAGTCACAGAGCGATTGCATAACGAGCCGGTTCGGCCAGTCGCTTGGAAAAGCGTGTGAAATGGAGTTGTAACCGGCATGATATTCTATTTACTAAATAATTGGACACAAATGTCGCCGGCGATGGGAGAGCATGTCCATCAGATGGCTAGACTCTGGGTAAGCGATATGTGCAAATGTTTCCACAGCTCAAAAAAAAGAACTTCCTTATGACAAGTATTAAAAAAAATCTAACTTGGAGATGCGGGGTATCGATCCCCGTACCTCTCACATGCTAAGCGAGCGCTCTACCATCTGAGCTACATCCCCTGATGGAATACGGATGTCATAGTTGGCTTGTGAAGGCATTTCCCACGGTTAACAGTCGAGCCCTTTATGTGTAGCCGAGAAAGCTTGAAGTTTAAAGAGAGAGAGAAAGCTTTTTATGCAAAATGATAGTGGACAAAATTAAGTTTATATAATAGATATGGCTTACTAAACAAATTATTGATATTGTAGATTGTGAATTTAAAATATTTAGTACATACAAACATGAAAATATGTAATATCAATAAAATAAAATTTAAGTCTGTTTCCGCCCGGGTTCGAACCGGTGACCTTGTGCGTGTGAAGCACACGTGATAACCACTACACTACGGAAACCCACAAGAGTAGCGCGACCTAACTCTCAACAGCTAAGGATCAAAAAGGATAACAAAGGACTTCCGGTCCAGTTGATTGGTAATTTTAAATCTAAAAACAAAAGTAAACTCAGCACATTAATTTTATTTTACCCAGTTTCTCTGTCAAGTTCAAAGCATTCAGAAAGATGCACCGTCTGTCAACGCAGCTCCCAAGAAGACGCGCTGCATGTAACATATTTAAGCAATAACAGCACTTTCTTTAATAGGATGCTGTCCTATTTCCAGACAACCTTTCGCCCTGGGTGGCGGCAGTCGACAAGGGCTGCAGCCGCCAAGGAAGGTCATAAAAACGCCAGGGAACTGGGAGTGACGCCGGGACGCTGTGAGTCGTAAAAGCAGTTGAAATTCCGTGCGTGCTGAGGGTCGGCCGTGTTTATAAATACAAATACACCTGAAAATGCTCATAAAATCAGTCTCATTAAATTAAAATAAAAATTAAATGTGGTTGAGAGAAAATTAATTGAATGAACTTCAACTACAACAGCGGAAACTGGGAGGTTGGGTCAATTGGCATTGAATAAATATTGCATGCGAAAAATATAAAAAATAAAAAAATTATGGGAATGTTCCCGCCCGGGTTCGAACCGGGGACCTTGTGCGTGTGAAGCACACGTGATAACCGCTACACTACGGAAACAACTGAGAGGAGGCGGCCCAATGCAGGCTATACGCTAAAGGCAACAGAAGACAGTACCGTAAGTTTAGCTTAGATTTACCTTATTTTAAATTAATTTTTATTTCATTTAATAATATATATTAGTACATAAAACAATTATATTGGTCTGAGTCTTTTGGGTTGTTCAAATGCATTTCTTGCCGTGGTCCATTTCGTAATATGGAGTTTTCAGTCAAATTATTATTTAATTTAATTGATATTCCGTAACATATGCAGTATATTTAATATTGATTCACTTAAAATTTCAGCTAGAAATATCCACTGTTAAAAGAACTTTAAAGAGAGGGCCCTTTCTCATTTGGCAATACCGTAACCTCTCTCTAATACTCTCTCTCTCTCTCCCCCCTCTCAGTAGAATGGCCTCAAGCCCAGCTTCGCGGAAGCTTTTTTCACTTCATTGTGTGTCATTGAAAGTGTGAAGATGAAGATCACGTGCAATAATGTGTTATTATTAGAAATAATTAATTATTCCCAGTGTGTGTGTCTTTCTCGGTTAATTTTCAATCAGAAATCAAAAATAGTAAGTGCATTTATACATATGAATATGTATATATGTATGTACAAGCCTTTAGTTCAGCATAGGAAAGTGTTTTAATAGTTTTTTTCTGCTGTATATATGTATGTATGTATGTGCAGGTGTATGCATATAAAGAGGAAGATACGACAGCGGCAGTACCTCCCGTTTCTTTTGCTCTGAACAACATACATATGCACATATGTACATACATATATCCATTCATACCTATGTATATACATATGTATATTCTAATATGAAATGAAGGCTTGTCAAGTGAAATGCTTTGATTTCTGATTTATTTTTAATAAGAAAAAAGGTGTTCCTAAAGTGTTAAGTGCATGTTTAAAACATGCAAAGAGAAAGTGCAATAAAAGGTGAGTGCAAGAAAATACATACATTTATGCATTCTCGTACTTGGTGTTGGCTTCTTTTTCAGCATTTCTTATACTATATTCTTCTTATATTAGCTTAATTTCTGATCAGAATCTAGCTTATCCTAGTCATGGTCATTCACTAAAGATCTGTTGGTTTATTCCTGCTTTTTTTGCTTCAAAAATCGATTAGGAAGCGAGTTTCCGTGTTGGTTAGTCAGTCACTCCAATATATCAATGCCAGATTTGCATAATTTTCATGCGGGAAAAACGCAGGAATGCGTTGACAGAGACCCTAATTTATGGTCATGACGATAAGCGAGTAAAAGTGTTTAGACTTGGTCAAGATAACTCCTTGGAATTTGGTGCTTAAACTTGAACTACAAACATAGTTGGGAATGAGCTGCGGGAGAGTTTCCCTTTTTCTACTCACCTCTTAATAAGGAAAACTTTGATATCATTTAACTGGGCGGTGCGTGAGGCGGCCCTATAAATAAACCGCAAAAGCAATTAGGTGGCTTCTTTGCCAAAATTGATTGCAAATTGTGCTGGGGATGCGGCCGACTGATAAGGGCAATCGCTCGGATGCGGATTCTAAGTGGAATGGACACCCGCAATGGCCGGCAAACGGGTTCAACTGGCCAATGGCGATACAAGTGACAAGTGAACATGGAAAACTAATTTATGTGGCGCATGCGACAGGAAATGCAGGCGACGCGACTCCAAGCCACTCTTACTCCACTCCGATCGATGCGATTCGATGAATCGGAATGCAATATGCAATATGCAAACCCGTCGCCGCTGCCTTTGCTCAATGAAAGTTGGTTCTTGGCTCTGGCTCTGCCAACTTGGGGACACTTGTTACCACCGCAAAGGGAGACCTTGACCGGGTCCCGCCAACTGGGCAACGGTAATATGAAACCACCGCTAAAAATGCAACAACTGGCGAACAAGTGACGAACATATTACCGATTCCCGGGCCCGGCTAACAACACTTTGCTCTTAACAACACCCGGCGACGGAATCTCTTTTTCTGCCCCTCCGGCTCCTGAGCTGCAAAGACGTGTTAAGGAAGCGTATCTATCGCTGGGATCTGCATAACGAGGAGGCACTTGGAAAATTTTTAACTACTTAGAATAGGAATTAGTTGGTACAATTTAACAGATTTGACAGGAAAACTCAAGGATATCTTGCTTTTAAATAGGGGAAAATTTGGAGACAAAACTACTTGAAATTATTGAAAGTTAAAAAATATGGAATATATTCTCAACTTGCTAGGGTTATTAACACCATTATAATTTGACACCAGTAAATATCCCATAACATAGACTAAAACCAAATCTATTCAGACCCCTTCTCTCAGTGCACTTGGCAGCCGGTTTCATTTGAGTTTTGGCTGCAGGCTGAGGCATCACCTCCATCATCATCAGCATCGGCCACTGGCCGCATCCCAAGATCATCGCTTTTTGACCAAGTTATGCTACGCGAACAACAATGTGTCATGTCGGCCTGGCCGCTAGCCTGGGGCTGGAGGTGGCCAGTTCCTGGAGTCGCTGGTCCATGGCCGCAATCGTTCTTCACACCTCCCACAACGGGCGGCGAGAAATTCGCACGCTCCAGGCGCCAGTCGATCCCAGGCAGCTGCTCTGGTCGAGATGCTCTTGGCCAAGATCTAGACCCTGCTGAACCCAGCAGGCACCATTGATCCGCCGTCGCTCTGCCCGCTGTCTCCACTGCGGTTGCATCTTCATCTTTTATTAATCGCTACATTTATTTGATTATCTTCGGGGCCTGAGGCACTGGCCTGGGATAGATTTATGCCTCGCCGCCTGTAATTTACTCGCTAATCATGCAACACTTTTCATTTTGACACGTTCGGTCGGCTCTCACCAAAGCACCGCCAGCGGTAATTATGTAAATTTTCCCCTTCGATCCGATCCTCAACGATCCAAGCGATCCAAGCCATCCAAGCCGATCCCCAACCATCATCTGTCGGATGCCGGGGGGTGCCATTTTATGATCTATGCCTGCTCCGTGCTTAGAAGCAAACTTAACACAAATTGATAAAAGCAACATCAACGCACACAGCAACATGGGGCCCGGACTATTTTTACGATCACCGATCGATCGATCCCGCGTTCCTCTTGTTTTCACTGGCGAACACATCGCTTACATAAATTACGGGCCAGGACCCGGGTCCGGTATAGAATTCCATAGAAAAGGCATCCAGCATCGGTTCGCTGCAGTGTTTTGACACCAAACATCCGCTCTAAGCCGCAGCCACAGCGAAGGGGTTAGCCACGTGAAGTGAAGTCTGATCGGGATCGGGATCGGTATTGGGATATAGACTGATGGGGCAGGGGAGGCATGCATAGATCTTGTTAGTCGTTGCCGCTCATGCGCATGACTGCAATTTAAGCGCCATAAATTCTGTGTTCTCAGCTCACTCTCCCCCATGTCGAAGGCAATGTGTCAAAGTTGTTATGCCCTTGTACTGTGTAGGGTATCAGAGGGGTATGTCTAGTTTATAGATGGAATAGATATTTTAATAATAGAATAATAGATTTATTAGCAATTGCAATTATTGATTTTCTTTACTTACTTAAGGTTTTAAAGCCTTGATTTATCGCATAACATGTTATATAAAACTAAGGTTTAATATTTGTTTAAAGATAATATTTATTTAAATAAATTTATTTTATTTAATATTTATTTAAACAGGGAATGTATCATATTTAAGTCTTAAGATATTAAAAAGGTTAGCTGTGGATACAAATAATCTATATGTAAACTTCTAATAGAAGGTTTTCTGTCATTTCATGAATTAATATATATATCTATATTAATGATTTCTTAAACGAATGAATGAATTAAGAGAATATAATGAGTAAAAGGAATGTGCTAATCATACTTTTCTCTGTATTAGTTTTGTTAAAATAAAATAAGCACCAAGCAGACATACTAGGTATACTCCCTTCGATCCTTCGAGATCTCCTTGGGATTTACTGGAGCATGATGCCCTTGCGTACACTCCAATAATGTGAGGCTGCATTAGATGACTTAATAAGATTCCTGTTGGGCAAGATTTGGATGTGGGGTGAAGTGAAGCAGCTGGATTGGGTCCACTTTCGAAAAAGGGGGATACTGGAGGGAGGGGGCTTTAGCCGAGACTGGTGCTGTGACATATGCAAATGATTGGAGTAATTAAACAATCCCTCAATCCGTAACTTCGTGAGACATAAATTAGTTCTTAGTATTATAAATAAGTGCAAACAATTTTAGCATTTTCTACACGATTAATAACGCCAATTAATCGCTGCAATGGCGGCGGGCAACAGTCATTGCCATGTAACTGACAAACTGGTCGACAGTTGCTAATGAATTAATCAGCGCGGAGATTAGATCGCAGATATGCGATCTCCGATCTGCGACTCTGGATCTGTGATCATGATCAGAAACCATTCAGGCGATCGTCGCACAAAGAGCGTAGGCATTTAATTACACTAGAACACATTCTAAGTGGCGTTACTGACAAATGATAATTGGTATTTGGTACTTGGTATTTGCCTGACAATTAGAACCGCTGTCCGAGAGCAGATCGAATCGGATCGGATTGGATGGGCGCCAGGCGGCTTTGAGAAGCTGCTCCACTGCATCCAATTGGTCATGCCCGGCACTTCCTGCATATCCAAGCAGGTTTTGACATAGCTCTGGCAACCAGCAGCCATTCTGTCAGTCTGCCAGTCTGCCAGTCTGCAACTCTGATCAATGAGCACTACTTAGTGCCCCGAAAATGCATCGCATGGATCGTATTTCTTGAACTTGACATTGAAAACAACAAGCACGACGCAGATGAAGATGCTCTTTCCGTTCGTCAATCCGCTTCCAGTGATCATTATCACTGATCCCCGCCGAATTAATTCCCAGCCCAAATGGCTCTTAATTGTTGCAGTTTATTTCGGGACCAACGATCGGTCGTGACTCAGTCTGGGGCGGCATGTCACTCATCAGAGAGTTCAGGATGCGGGGGCCAAAGTATCCAGTTGCAGGGCTACAAGATCACGTACAAATACAAAGTGCAACTTTGCTCCGCTGTCAATCAAATGATATTTGTTGCTTCCATTGCCCCTTTTGAACCAAAGGGTTTTGGTGTTTGCCCAACTGGAATGCAGATCATTAGGATCATTAGGCACTCGATATGTCGCTGCGAGGGTCGCTTTACACGTACACAGCTGTTGGCTCTTTCTCAGGGAGATGCTTTTAAAGGGATTAGATTACTGTATATAAATTAAAACATATTTTTGGATCAGTAAAAAGTAATTAAATTGAAGAATACGATATTTCTACAAACTTTACAAATCATTTGATTCAGTTTTATTAATTTATTAGATGCGTAAAGATGCGTCACCCAAAATGATTTCAATTAAAGATCTTGTTTTACTAGATTCTCGACAAGATGTTTATAGGATTGCCTTCTAAGTCACCTCTTATCAGTAGACCCAAGAATGCTGACCTCCATCGGTAACATTACCTTGATTGACAATCCGTTTCCCTTCCCCTTCAAACACCGCCGATGATCAATGTGTGTTCTGTACGCAACTATCGCACCTGGAACGCAATTATCGGGAGATAAGCCGGCGATATCAAGCAATGGCCCCCGAAAGCGCGACCATACACACTTGTCTACCTGTCTGTGTGTTTGGGTGTATATATTTAATTTCTTTTTTTTCGGCAGTACTCTTAACGCTGGCTGGATGAGTCACCCGGCGCTAATTACTAATTGTCTTTAAGCCTAACAGAATTAAGTCTAGGGAAAGATTAGTGTCCGTTGCCATAGTCGGCCCATTTCTTGCCCAACGCCTGATCGCGTGCCTGTTGGCGGAGCACCTTGCCGCTGCCAGTTTTTGGGAGTTCTGGCAGGAAGAATACCCCGCAGTGGAGCTGCTTGTGGGTAACTACCAGACGCTTGGCCACGTACTCCACAATGTCCATTTCGGTGAGGCGACTGCCTGGGACTTTGACAACGGCTGCCGCCGCAGGATCGCCGTCCACTTCGTTCCAAAGTCCAAAGACACAGGCCTCGATCACGTCCGGTAGCTCGGCTATGACCTGCTCCAGTTCATGGGGACAGTACTGGGCTCCATGGAAGCGCAGGAGGTCACCCTTCCGCTCCACAATATGCAGGTAGTTCTCATCGTCAAAGTAGCCCATATCTCCGGTGTGGAACCATCCTTGATAGTCCTGCATTCGCTTGGACTCGTTAGGATTGCCATAGTAGCCATTCCACAGCTTTCCGTTGTGCACTAGGATCTCACCAGTGTCACCGTGGCCGAGACTTCGTCCGGCGTCATCCAGGATCTTCACTCGCACTCCGGGCACAATTCTGCCCACTGACGAGGGCTTGGCCACACCCATGTTGGCCGCCACACCACCACACTCGGTCAGGGCATAGCCATAGGATATTTGTCCTTTGATTAGGAAGTCTTGTAGCTTCAGGAGATTGGCCACATAGCAAGAGCCACCGCCCACGCTCACAAAGCGGATGCTGGAGAGGCGCTGTTTGCTGAGGGTCGGTGCCTTGAGAAGCGATGCCACCTGCTGCGGAACCACTGTCAGCAGAGTCACCTTGTACTTCTCCACCAGCTGGAGCATGTACTCGGGTGTGTAGGTCCGGTCGGTGATGATCCGTGTGGAGCCATGGCAGCAGCTGAAAAGCATGTTGAACATGCCCGCCGACCAGTCGATGGTGCTAAAGGAGAGCAGCACATCCTGACCGGTCACAAAGCTGGAAGGGATCGATAATTAGAGATGAGAAAATACTCTTGCCCAAGACTTACCCAAAGTCAAAGAGGCAAGCTGAGTTGGTGATGCAAACGGCCTTGGGAAGACCCGTGGTGCCCGAGGTGCACAGAATGGCCACTGTTTGATCGCCGCCCAAAAGAAGGTGCTCAGGCCTGGATCAGGGAGTAGCAAATATCTTAGAATGATTCCTTATTGTCTCTGAATATATTCATAAACTTACACATAATACAGCTCCGCTTTTGTGGGCTCCAGCAGATCCTCTACGCGTGGCATGCCCAGCCGATGATCCTTTAGAGTATACACCTGTGACTTGAGTATCCTGGCAATAATGCTCAATCTCTGATAGACGTAGCCATCGCAAAAGATGAGCCTCGGCCGGGTGATGGAGAACAGGTGCTTCATTGTGTCCTCATCGTGCCAAGGACTGACAGCATGAAAGGGAGTTCCGTTGAGGAGACAACCCAATACCACCGGCATAAGGTAGGTGGTATTGGTCCCTGCAATGCCCACCACATCGTCCTGCTTCAGTCCCAGAGCCTTCAGTTGCTGGGCAATGCGAATGGCAAAGGTGATGGCCTCGCCATTGGTCAAAGCAGTGCCCTCGGTATCGGAAATCTAAAGAGAAATAATGATTATTATTCCCATAGAAAAGGAACTTTACATGTTGACTCACCTGACATATGCTGGATGGATGGTTCCGCATAAACGCAAATAGAATTTTACCAATCGAACAATCTGGATCGAAGAAATTCGCCGGCCTTGGTCCACTCCAAATTTTAGTGTATTTATCGAAAGTCGTGCTCGAGCGTTCCATTCTGGCGACTGATAAGAGCTGGCCGGGTCTCAACAAACGGTTTTCTATCCGGACGCAAGTCCGGGTGCGTGTCCAATAACGATTCTTCAGCGACTGTCGACCGCTAGCCATGCTCAGGCCACTTCCAGTCCAAGTGGAATCTTATCGTCCAACCGGGTCACTACGTCACCGATATGAGGCCGAAGCTCGGAAAGCTCTCCGATAAGCAGTCCCAGTGAGATAAGCCAGTCGAAATGGGGTTCTAGATACAATAGTTTTGATGTGGGATTGATTGACTGATGAGTAGATAAATGGAAAGACCTTGGAAAATGGGTGAATGCCCCACTTGTAAAGCGGTAATAATTCATCTTGAAAGAAAGAATTAGGTGTGTTTGATAGATACAAATTTATTTAATTTATAGATTTCTTTATTTATGCTATAGGTATAACTACTTAAACTTAAGAATTTATGAAATATCTTGGGATTGCAATGTATTTCTTCTGATTTCTTTGAGACCTTTGATCTACTTTGAGTTCTTGACTTCCAGGAAGTACGCCTTGGTGGCCATGCGGTTCGTTTTTCCATTGGGCGATCGCACAAGATCCTCCACAATGATGGCTCCTCCATTTAACTGCTTATATTTGGCCTCAATATGTTCCTTCACATAGTCCACAATGTCCTGGGCCTTGAGATCGCTGCCCTGCTTCTTAACCACGGCAGCAGCGGCCTCGTCTCCATTGATCTGATCCCATACCCCAAAGACACACACCTCGGCCACATCTGGCATCTCTGAGATAACTCGTTCGATATCGTTGGGATAGTACATGATATTCTGATACTTCAACATGTCCTTTTTGCGCTCCACAATGTACAGAAACCCGTCATCGTCCACGTACCCAAGGTCACCGCTGTGGAACCACAGCTGCGGGTCTCGTATCTTGCGGGTCTCCTCCGGATTGCCATAGTATCCCGCCCAGTGCTGGCCATTGTTAATGCACACCTCCCCCACCTCATCGGGGCCGAGGGATTCTCCCTGCTCGCAGACTATCTTCAGCTTGACGCCACTTACCAGGCGACCTACTGAGTTGGGTTTCTCATCGAAGTGAAAATTCATGGATGCCATCGCTCCCAGTTCCGTAAATCCGTATCCAAATTGCAGGCAGTCTCGGCTCAGACGATTCCTGATACGATGCTGTGTCTCCACCGAAGCCCGGGATCCTCCGAAGAGGTAACACCTGACACTTGAAAGATCCGCTGTCTGGAAAGCCAGTGAGTTTGTTATCATGGCCATGTGCGACGGAGGCTGAATTATCCATGTGATCTTGTATTCCTCGACGAGTCGTATGAAGAAGGCGGGATCGAATACATTGTCCGCTATTATGCGCTTTGTGCTGAACACCCCGGAAGTGATGGTGATCAGTAGTCCGGTGATCCAGTCGAGGGTGCTGTGGGTGTACTGGACGTCGCTGGTGGTAAGACATCTGCAGAAGGAATCTTTATAGAGGAGTAAGCCCAATGTTGTTTCTACTTACTGGTTGCCAGCCAAAATCTGGCGGCTATGGTTAATGGTCACAGCCTTTGGTATTCCAGTTGTGCCCGAGGAGCAGAGTATGGCCAGTGTCTGATCGTTGCCCTGCTCCAGGCGAGCCGGCTGAAAGTTTTCCTCGATGGGAGTGGTTAGCACTTCATGAATACTGATGGAATCCGTTGGATGATTGCGCATGGTGATGATCTTCACATCTAGGGATGCGGTGGCAGCTTGCATCTTCTTGAACTCATCTCCATCGCAGAAAATAAGGCGTGGCTTGGTTATGTTAAATAGCTCTTCAATGGTGCTCCGCTCATAGTTAATGTTCAGCGAGTGGAAGGCGATTCCGTTGAAGAAACAGGCATATGCCACGGCGGACATGTGGGTGGTATTCCTGCCTATAAGGCCCACCACATCGGATTGAAGGAGACCCAAGGATCGCATATAGCTGGCCACTTTCATTGAGTTGGCATGTAGTTCCTCCCTGGTCAAGATTGTGTTCTCAGTGGCCGAGATCTAGAAGATAATGTTTAGGTTTTCACTTTTATCCAACTGAGAGAACACTCACCTGGGCAATGAGTTGTGGGTGACGCCGCATCTCCTGAAAGATGATCTCTCCCATGGACAGATGTGGGTCGAAATAGTGTTTAACCTGATCCCCTCTCCATATCTTGAGATCTGCATCGTAAAAGTTTGCTGGTCGGTAAGGCATTCCGTAAAGCTTTAAATTAAATTCGCGACTAACTGCGAACTGCAGCGACAGTCCTCCTTTTATAGAGCCGAGAGCTCTGTATTCGCTAACTATTTAGATAGCTTTAAGAGGTATTTACTAGGGTAACATATGCACTGATTACACCGACACGCGATTGCATTCACACTTGAGATCAACGGCGAGGAGGCGACGCTCAATGAGCCAATCTCCATAACAATACACTTGACTTCTGGTTGGTGTAATTGCCGGGACCTATTGCTCTTACTATCTGAGCAGGCAAGTGAGGCTGCGATACGCCATGATTTGGCAGATTTTCAGATTGAAATTGAGAGCCAGCTCAGCGATAAAAGTAAATATAGACATTAATAGGTTACGTTATCGCATATCGATTTGTAATTGACGAGAGAGAGCGAACCTATTCTGAGGTTATATAGTTAAATAACTTGTTTGTAGGTTTAGCATTTATTTACTAATCTATCTTCAAATATAACTATAAAGTTTGTAAACACAGACATTTGGCACTGTCTTATCAGCTTAGTATGAGTGCATCCGAGCTACATACTTTAGGTTTTCCTTAATTGCTTGAGAAATGTATGAGTATTTTTTTTATTTACTTGAGAGTATGATAGCTTAGAAAGGTTTAAGTGTTAAATTCTCTTGAAATTTTCTGCTTAGCTGGAAAATTGGTATGGTGTTATGATAAGTAAATCTTCAGAGGGAAAAGGTTAGCAAACTTGTTGATTTCAAACAAATAAAGATGATATTATTTAGAGTGCCGGAACATTCTAATTTTCTGCTTTAAAAAACCAATGACTAAAATTATAATACCCTACAAAAACACGGCTATAATCTCTAGCTGCGTGGCACAGTTTTTGCAATTACTAAACAAAGATTCTGCATGGTAATTGTTTATTATCAGTGCAAATATCAGTATAATATTTCAAGATTTGTTCGCATTTTTTAAATATGCCGCTTTAACAGCATGTCGATTGACCTTGCCGTTGGCGCTTTTCGCCAGCTGGGGAACTATCTGTACTCCACCATGGAGATGCTTGAACTGCACGGATACGTTCTTTCGCACAAACTGCTCCACTTGGCTGGGATTTAGGTTACTGCCGGATCGGAGGACTACAGATGCGGCGGCAGCATCACCCTCCATTTCCCGCCAGATGCCAAAGACACAGACCTCGGCCACATCGGCCATCTGGGCTATCACCTCCTCCACTTCGTGGGGATAGTACATCATTCCGAGATACTTTAGCATATCCTTTTTGCGCTCCACAATGTGCAGGTAGTTGTCCTGGTCGAAGTAGCCCACATCACCGGTGTGATACCATCCCTCAGAGTCTCTCATCTCCGCCGTGGCCTGGGGATTTCCAAAGTATCCGTTCCAGGACTGTCCATTGTGGCAGAGCACCTCACCCATACCCTTGGGTCCCTGCAACTGGCCCGATGAGTCCACAATCTTCACTCGAATGTTCGCCATGAGGCGACCCACCGAAGTGGGCCTCGTTTGGGTGTCGTAGTTGTAGGAGATTAGCGTTCCCACCTCGGTCAGGCCATAGGCATTCCTTAGGATACCGGGACCATGCAGGAAGGACTGCATTTTCTTTAAAGTCCCAACTAGACAATGGCCACCAGCAAAGAGCAAATGTTTCAGGCTCTGTAGCCTCTGGGTGCTAGTCTTTGGACAGTTGGCCAACATGGCCACATGGGAATTGGCCATAATGGTCCAGCTGATTTCGTGCTGCTCGCACAAATCGAGGAAGTGTGCGGTGCTGAATATATCGCTGGAAATTAGACGAACTGTACCGAATACCCCGGCTGTGACAAGGGTGATGAGTCCCGTCAGCCAGTCCAAGGTGCTAGGAGCATACTGAACGTCATCTGGTCCTAGGTAGCTAAAAGATAAGAGAAAATGTATCTTATATCTAACTTTATATGAAAGATGAGCCGCAACCCACCTGTGCATCTCGAACAGCTTGCGACTGTTGGACAAAGTCACCGCCTTGGGCGTTCCAGTGGTGCCCGAGGAGCAAAGGATAGCCATGGTACGATCGACTCCCCGTAGGAACTGCGCTGGTTCGTAATCCTCGGGAAGGGGATTCTGCAGTAGATCCGTGGCACTCAGGACACCTGGCAGTTTCCCGTTAACCGTCACTACCAGAGCTCCCAGGGAGGCAGCTATGTCCTTGATCTTTTCGTAGTCCGCTACATCACAGCAAAGGATGCGTGGCTTGGTGATCCTGTAGAGACTGGCAATAGTCTTCTGCTCCAGATTGGGATTGACGGCATGGAAGGGTGTGCCATTGAAGAGGCAACCGTAGGCCAGCGCTGCCACATGGGTGGAGTTCCGGGCCAGAAGACCCACCATATCCGTTTCCGTGTCGAATCCCTGGTCCCGCAGATAGCATCCAACCTTGGATGCATTCTGCAGCATCTGCAAGCGGGTCAGCCGTGTGTTGTCCGTGTGTGAAATCTGAAATATCCTTTGGGGCTGCCGTTGCAGCTGCCGGTAGATAATCTGACCCACGGTTAGGTCCTCGTTGTAAAGGCTCTGGATGCTGGTGCCGCTCCAGACCTTCTGGATCGGATCGTAGGTGGTCGCGGGATTACCATTGAGGTCCAACATCGTGATGCACGCGCCGTTTGCAACTGCAGCACGCTTGGATGCAGTCGCTCCTATTTAAAGGTCAACGAAATTGCAAAAATTAGACGGCAATTTAGCAGTTAAAGTGTCCGGACATTTAATTTCACGTATTGATTGCAAAGCCGTTCGCTTGACACGATATCGCTGTGGTTGGCAAACCGTTTGGCGGCTTTAATTATATTTAAGATGTGCCGTTATTTGATATTAAATAATTTAACATGCAATGCGGGGTCAATCATTTATCTTTACCGATTTCATGCCGGTAAAAAATGTTTTTGAAAATATTTGTGTTTGGTGTAAGCTTCATTTCCGTCTTGCAATTTCTAAAATCTTCTTAAATATGTGTTTTATAGGTATGGGCATGATTACCATATTTTTAAAGGCGGTTGCATCACTAAAAATTTTAAAAATTATCTTGACATTCAGATGTAACCAAAAACATTCCGAATTCAAATTAATCGACTGGTCCAATTGCAGACTTTAACGGTATGAAAGTATCGGCCAGCCATAGTTGTCTTCCGTTCTTAATCATTTTTAAAACATAGCTTAACTCTTGTTAAAAAATAAATAATTTTTATATTAATAAAACTATTTGCATATTTTATTATGCGCCTTAGCCGTAAACTAAAGTTATTGGTTTTAAGAAAGAGCACAAAAACAGTTTTTTATTTCCAATAATAATACCTACGATAAACATAATAGGGCTATCGTAAGTACAGAATTAAAAAAATACTTTAAATATATAACAATTTTATAAATTCAGCGGAACCTTTTCCAAAGCCATTTTATTTAAAAAAGAATTATTACGGAAACTTCTGCCATTATTTAAAATCGTGCAAGTCTTATATTTACTCACTACCGCCGCTACAGAAGTGGGGTTGTTTATTTTGTGAACTAATTTCCAAATACTCATACAGAAGCGCCATGTATTTGACATACTGGTGTTGTTGGTTTCTTAAACTAAAATAAATGTATAAGAGTGTTCTTATACGCAGGTGCTATAATTCCAAATGTTGCCAATTCATTTGCTATAAATTTAAATTAAACGCTTACTGGGTATTATAATTTTAGTCAAGTGCATGCAGCGATGTGAAGAAGTCATTTCCGACCCCATAAATCATATATATTCTTGATCACCATCATCAGCTGAGTCAGTCCAGCTATGTTAGAGAAAAATTTATATTTTTCAAAAATGTTCAAAATTGTCCAAATTTAATTTTTTTTAAATGTTAAAATAAGTATGCAGATTTCTTAATTTAATAAAAACTAAGATGGGATAGCATTCCAAATTAAAATGAATGCATTTTTGATTGAACTATGATGGATTTTCTCTGCAAGGGTGTAGAAATTTTTGGTAACCCGAAATTGGCTTTCTTTCTTGTTTTTAAATAGTTTTAATTGAATTGAAACTATAAGGGAATAATGTTAGGTTTATATTTATAAATAGTTTTGAGACTTGGTTAAAGCCGTTTGATTCCTATCTTATCTCCTATTAAACTTGCTTCTGTCAATATTTTAAATTAAAATTCTACCTAAATTACAAAGTTGCTTTCCTTGTACGATATTAACTCTTAACTTAGGTCAGTCAATACTGCAAGGAGTTTTGATATAAAAACCCAAAAATTGTATCTCATATAAAAAAGAAGTCAATTTTAATCTAAAACTTAAGCCTTCTTAAAGCTTCTATAGCCAAGACGATGTAAATATTGACTCCTGATGAATTGACCCTACGAAGCCATAAATTCTGGCGCATGCTTCTCTTTTATCTGACCAAGTTAGCTGACCTTTAATTTAAGGCAAGTCGCAAAAGAGATGTATTGGCAAAGACAAAGCGTTTTTCGCATTGTGAAAACTCTCAGATAAAACGCAAATCGGAACCGAGATTTCTGAGATTACCCACTCAGAGTGAATAGACATAGAGTAAAGGGGGCGCACCCAAAAAGTCAACAACAGCGATGATTAGACAGAAAGTGAAACTGATATGTAACAAACTGTCTTCTGCTGGTGAGAAGATAAGCTTCTGGCCAAGAAGTTACTTGCAAAACAACAAGTCCCTGACTTTTATCAGGGACAAGTAAAATTACGTCAAATCTTTCCATCCAAGTGGAACTTGGATGCAAATATCGTAAACAGATATGATACAAACCATCTGTCTGAATTTCGCAACAAAATGTTGACTTACATCGTTTCGTTAGATCAACCAAGGAATACTCGTATAAAAGCTGCAATATTCCTTACCAAATGAAAGATCAATAAACTAAGAAGAAGTTACATGAGCAATCAAAACCCAACTCTTAGATAAGCCACCCAACAGCAGAAACGATATCATAAAAGCGGCGTAAAGCGATATCTTCCAACTGGTCCCGTGCAGCAAACAAATCTTATCTAAATCAGCTAACAGAGTGCGAGGGCTTGGCCTATAAAAGAGAGATTGCAGCGTAAAATTGCCAACAGTTGAAATTTGAAATTACAACGGAAGCAAGCCAGCAGCTTACAGAATGCCTTACACCCCAGTGAATTCCTACGATGCCGATCTGAAGATCTGGAGCGGAGAGCCAGTGGAGCACTACTTTGACCCACATCTGTCTATCGGGGAGATCATCTTCCACGAGATGCGGCGTCATCCCAAGCTCATTGCCCAGGTGGGTCCATAAAAGAGTTTCCTAGGAATCGGAAAAGGAATATCCTAGAATTCTTCTTGCAGATCTCAGCCACGGAGAACACTGTGCTGACCAGACAGGAGCTCCATAACAACTCGATGAAAATTGCCAGTTATATGCGTTCATTGGGTCTCCTCCAATCCGATGTGGTGGGATTAATAGGCAGAAACACCACTCATATGCCTGCTCTGGCATACGCCTGTTTCTTTAATGGAATCGCCTTTCACTCGCTAAACATTAGCTATGATCAGAGCACCATAGAAAAGCTATTTGACATTACGAAACCTCGTCTCATTTTCTGCGATGGAGATGAGTTCGAGAAGGTGCGAGCTGCCACCGCAGCCTTAGACGTGAAGATCATCACCATGCGCAATCATTCATCGGACTCTATTAGTATTGATGAAGTTCTGGCGACTCCCATTGAGGAGAAGTTCCAACCAGCTCGCCTGGAACAGGGCAACGATCAGAATCTGGCCATTCTCTGCTCTTCTGGTACCACTGGAACTCCCAAGGCGGTCACCATTACCAACAGCCGACATATCCTGGCTGCCAACAAGTAAGTCCAAATAAGTTGCTCTTGATCATAACTAACTTTGCCCATTAAAACTGGTACTTATAGCCACCTGACCACAGCTGACATTCAATACTCCCACAACACCCTCGATTGGATAAGCGGTCTTTTGACCACTGTAACCTCTGGCGTGTTCAGCACCACTCGGATCATTGCTGACAATGCCTTTGATCCCGTCTTTGCCCTGCGAATCATTGAGGAGTACAAGGTAACGTGGCTTATTCAGCCGCCATCCTGTATGGCCATGATGGTGAATTCTCCGGAATTCGAGACCAGTGATCTGTCCAGTCTGCGGTACTTCGTCTTCGGTGGATCTCGTGCTGCATTAGAGGTGCAGCAGGCCATCAGGAGTCGGCTGAGCAGCGATTGCCTACAGTTTATGTATGGATTCACGGAACTCGGTGCCTTGGCTACCTACAATTGTCACTTTGATGAGAAGCCCAACTCGGTGGGACGTTTGGCCGACGGTCTCAAGCTGAAAATAGTATCTGAGGATGGCAAATCCCTTGGACCTGGTGAGATGGGCGAAGTGTGTATCAAGAATAATCAACACTGGGCAGGTTACTATGGAAACCAGCTGGAGTCCCGCCAGATGCGAGATCCCGAGCGATGGTATCACTCCGGAGATCTTGGCTACATGGACAAAGACGGTTTCCTTTACGTGATGGAGCGCAAAAAGGATATGTTGAAATACCAGAACATCATGTACTATCCCCACGAAATCGAAAGTGTCATCTCGGAGATGCCTCAAGTGTCGGAGGTTTGTGTCTTTGGCGTATGGAGTAATATTTATGGAGACGAGGCTGCAGCCGTCGTGGTAAAGAAACAGGGCAGTGATCTTAAGGCCCAGGATGTAGTGGAATATGTGAGCACACGGACGGACTCCAAGTATAAGCAGTTGAATGGAGGAGCCATTATTGTGGATGATCTCATGCGCAGCGCCAATGGAAAGACCAATCGAATTGCCAACAAGAATCACTACTTGCATTTAAAAGAAAGGAGCTAATAATTTGGGAAGATATATATTTTAATAAATCTTTTGTTGCCATTAATTAATGCCTGCTTATCTCTTTAAGATCACAAAATAATTGGTGTACCCTATAGGCAGTTTTCGGTTTAATTTGCAATAGAACAAACCCTCTCTAAAATTACCACGGTTTATGTTTTTTTTTTTTAAATCCTCTCGCTTACTAATCAAGATTATTTCTTGATATATTTTATACGGCCAAAATAATATATATTATGTTTGTGTTTCATATTTAAATTTGTCTAAAATATGCTAATACAAACCTAATATTACTAACTTCTCAGGAGAAAACTAATTTTTATGATGTTTTGTCCTGCCTATCTTTATTATAGCCTTTTAGGGCATTTTTAAATACCACCAGTAATGATTAGGTTTATTTTATTGAAATCGGTCAACTAAGCAATATATATATTCTGTGTTTTCGTTTATTTGTTTATATCATATCATATTCATATATGAATTTAAGAATCAAGAGATATTTTGTAGAGCTTTACACCATTTATATTTCTTTAAAGGTTGTAAGGAACAATTTTTTGGTATATATATATGGTATATATGTATATATATATGTATGATATACTTGGTATTTGAATATTCTTTAATTTTATTAGCCATTTAGTTCTGAGACTTCACTTGCAAGTAGTGTTCCTTGTTGGCCATTCTGTTGGTCTTTCCGTTGGAGCTGCGCTTCAGTTCGTCCACAATGATGGCTCCTGCATTCAGGTGCTTATACTTGGAATCCGTTCGCTTCCTCACATACTCCACAACATCCTCGGCTCTCAGATCGCTCCCAAGTTTCTTTTCCACAGCGGCAGCAGCCTTATCCCCGTTGATTTGATCCCACACCCCAAAGACACAGACATCGGCTACATCGCATTCAATATCGTGGGGATAGTACATTGTTTCCAAGCACCTCAGCATGTCCTTTTTGCGATCAACGATGTACAGAAAGCCGTCTTGATCCATGTATCCCAGGTCTCCGGAGTGATACCATCCCTGAGAATCTCTCATGTTCCGACTTTCAAGCTGGTTTCCATAGTAACCTGCCCAGTGTTGGTTATTCTTGATCCACACTTCGCCCATCTCGCCCGGTCCAAGGGATTGGCCATCTTCAGAGACGATCTTCATCTCGAGGCCCCTTACCAAACGTCCCACCGAGTTGGGCTTCTCGTCAAAGTGACAATTGTAGGTGGCCAAGGCACCGAGTTCCGTGAATCCATACATAAACTGCAGGCAGTCGCTGCTCAGCCGACTCCTGATGGCCTGCTGCACCTCTATTGCAGCACGAGATCCACCGAAGACGAAGTACCGCAGACTGGACAGATCACAGGTCTCGAATTCCGGAGAATTCACCATCATGGCCATACAGGATGGCGGCTGAATAAGCCACGTTACCTTGTACTCCTCAATGATTCGCAGGGCAAAGGCGGGATCAAAGGCATTGTCAGCAATGATCCGGGTGGTGCTCAACACTCCAGAGGTTACAGTGGTCAATAGACCGCTTATCCAATCGAGGGTGTTGTGGGAGTATTGAATGTCAGCTGTGGTCAGGTGGCTATAAGTACCAGTTTTAATGGGCAAAGTTAGTTATGATCAAGAGCAACTTATTTGGACTTACTTGTTGGCAGCCAGGATATGTCGGCTGTTGGTAATGGTAACCGCCTTGGGAGTTCCAGTGGTACCAGAAGAGCAGAGAATAGCCAGATTCTGATCGTTGCCCTGTTCCAAACGAGCTGGTTGGAACATTTTCTCAATGGGAGTGGTTAAAACTTCATCAATACTAATAGAGTCCGATGAATGATTGCGCATGGTGATGATCTTTACATCCAGGGATGCTGTGGCAACTCGCACCTTCTCGAACTCATCTCCATCGCAGATTGGAGGAGACCCAAGGAGCGCATATAACTGGCAATCTTCATCGAGTTGGTATGGAGCTCTTGTCTGGTCAGCACAGTGTTCTCCGTGGCCGAGATCTTCAAGGAAAATTATTTTATTTCTGATTCCTAGGAAACTCTTTTATGGACCCACCTGGGCAATGAGCTTGGGATGACGCCGCATCTCGTGGAAGATGATCTCCCCGATAGACAGATGTGGGTCAAAGTAGTGCTCCACTGGCTCTCCGCTCCAGATCTTGAGATCGGCATCATAGAAGTTCACTGGCGAGTAAGGCATTATGTAAGATGCTTGCTTGCTTCCGTTGTTAAGTAATTTTAAATTCAAACTGTTGGCGATTTGGACTGCTTTCCTCCTTTTATAGTTGTGAAGTAGTAGTTGAGTTAGGAAGTGGATTAAGATAAATGGAAACGGCAGAGAACTAACTCAAAGATAGCACATACTGATATGTATTTTGGCTCACTGGGTTATCTTTTTCTCGAGCTGCTGTAAACTCAGATACAATTTTGGTAAAGATAATGGTTCCAACATAGGAAGGTTACTAAAGTTAATCAAGTTTATTGCAAAAATGAGTAAGTAAAAATATTTCTGACCGAATTCCATTTGTGTGGAAATATGCCGTGTAACATTACAATGTCTGATAAAAATCATGAGGTTTGCTATTTTGAAGGTCATTTTTCTTGGCTGTAACTTTTCCTCTAAGCACATGAAGAGTATCGTTTCAGTTTTACTTTCTGTGTAATCATGAAATATATCATAACGTATACCATATCTTCTGGACCACTTGGACATGCTAATCTTTCATTCGATGTAATTCGATGTAGGCTCATATTCTAATCAAAAATATATCTTTACCTTTGAGAAATGCTCTTTATCGCAGACCTTTTCTTTAGTGAATACTTACCTTGAAAGTGATAGAGATTCATCATATCATCTCTCAAAACTAAACAAAAATCCAATAAAAAAAGAAACACATTTACGTATTCTTTCATTTCGTTTTGTTTCATTTATTTATAAACATTTCACAAACATCTTTATTCTGCGGGTTTTACACAATTATTTGGATTTCTCTCTTGTTCGTTTCAGGATTTCATTCCATCTGGGTGACAACAATTATTTCAACTATTTTGTAAAATTACGCTACTAATTCTTTCACTTAGGCATTTGATCTGCTGTTTTAAATTTCCACTGACGGCTTTGATGTGTCCTATGCCGGATCTATATGTACTTTCGTTTTTTAATCAATTATTTTCGGTTGTTAGTTGTTGCTGTCTGGGGTTATGTTTCGGGTTTTTGGGTTGCACTACAGCGAAATTCTTGTGTCATTTGTTTCCGAAATGCTTCGGTTTCGGTCTTAAGACTATGTGATCTTTTGCTGAAGTGTGGTTGTGACTGACTTAGCTCTATAAAGTAAGGTGATTTGTGTTTATTGATTTGGGTAACTTTTTGCTGTTCGCTTTCTGCGCCCTCGATCGCAATTTCGATAGAAATGAGATTCGGTCTTGCTTGTATTTACATTTCTACTATAGAAATTATAGTTGGAGTTGTTTGATTGTTAGAAATGGGCCATGAGACGCCCCCATTTTTGGAAGATATGTGTTATGATTTATCTAAATTTTAACTTGCAATTACTCAAACTCGTTTGTCCCGCTCAAATTGTGCAAAGATTAGATTCGTTTTCGTTTCGTTTTCGATTCGATTCGATTTCGATTTCGATTTGTGTGTGTCGTTTTGATTTGATTGGTGATTAGCAAAGATTAAACATCGAGTGAGTGGAGTGAATTTGGTGAGTGAATCGTTCAGATAGTGATGGTGGAAGTAATTTGCCTTGGCGCTTAGTAGCTGAGTACTGTGAATACTAGTGAACTAGTCTGTTTTCGAAGCATTTTTCAACGCCGTCTCTTAAGATCTAAACATACGTTAACGTTAACTTACGATCTAGTCGCCCTCGTCTGGGTTTCCGTCACCACATTCGCATGGGATTCAATGATTTTTAATATCTACGCTCCTCCTTTGTTAATCAAAACCTGTAAGTCTTTTTTGAACGCATCTTTATATTATATAAACTTGTGCACATTTCGTGTTACGTCTCCCGTAGTCGTTTTTTGTTCGTAAACCTAACCATTAAATGACATTTACATGCTTTTGAGCCAAACTATTTACAGTGAAACTGGACTGTTTGCTGCCGAACGATTTGCCTGGAAAATGATAATTGACCGATAATTGGATAATGGCAAACGAGAAGCAGCACACAACCTAAGAATGTTTATTTTCACTAAAATTAAATGCCGAAATCTGATGTTTCGCCCCTCACCCCAAGCCCACCTACCTGGTGTAATAACTAGTTTAATTATTTCTCATCTCCTTCGCTTTTCACTTTTCTCTATGATTATTCTTCTTTGCCTAGTACATCGGTCAACGCTTTCCGGTTAACAAAGCCCGAGTTTTCCTAGATCTGCCTGTTCTGTTCACCAACTATATATGCTCACATTTAAAAACCCTGTATGTTCAATAGCTTCATATACAATACAACTATAGCTAGAGTTATAGTTATAATTTCGCTTGTTCGATTTCATTCGATATTTGTTTTTGACTAGTTTTTTTGGTTTCTCTTTGCTTTGCTTGGCACAACTTTTACAACATGAAAGTATCTATTAGATATTCACCGAGTTTCGATCTTTGGGTCTCTCAGATCGTTCGTGTTTTTTTTTTGGTTTACGTGACAATTGTTTAATGACAACAGTTACTATGCAGGGTGCCTCGTGTTTTTGTTGTGTCTATTATATTAGCATAAGTTTCAATTGATTTTTGATTTCTCTTTATGATTAATTTCTTACCTTTAGATTAGAAATGATAGCAAATAAATGGGCATACCCGAAACAAAGAGTTTTTAATAAACGAAAGAAGAGATGAAACAAGCCTTTTAAAAGTTAATTAAAATAGTTTAAAAAAATCTACAAAAAACGATTTTATTATAAAGTTATCTGAAGTTATTGTTTGTTGTGGTTTTCTTTTGTTTCTGTTTGTCGCTATGTAGAATTCACATTAGTTATTATTATTCTAAAATTAGAGCCCCATATATTTAGGGTATCGTTTGTGCGTTTCTCTAATTGGATTTTCGGGGTTATATCAAAGTGAAAAGATTGGAGTGGAGTTTCAAGAGAGACAGAGAGCGTTTTTTGTTTAGAAGGAGAAAATGTGAGAGAAAGGAATCTTCTTGGCATACAAAAGGCACTTAAATAACCAAAGATATTATTTTGGATATAAAAATAACTGCATATATCTCGATCTAATTCACGATTCATACTGGATTTGCAGTAAATTTATGAGTAGTATTCATCAAGTTCGCGGGGACTTGCACTACATGATAAAATATTGTTGTATTGTCTGTTAATTGGTTTATGGTTTGCATTTGTATATTTATATTTCATAACTCTAATTAAGCAAAATTAACTAGCTAAGTGACCTTGGCGGTCCAATACATAATTAAGTAATAGTAAATGGTAAATTGGTTAATGGTAAATTGTAAATTGAATATAATAATCTAAGGATTCAAATCAAACAGGAATCAGAATTGCGGGCTTAGTCCCCCTTGAGTGTAATTGCTACTTGACTACTATTAATTAAAATTCAACACTAAAATTAACGCAAGCGACTAATAGATTTAGGAAAATGATTAATTTATTTAAGGGCTTCTAAGAAATTCGAGTGAAAAATAACTTGCAGATACCCACCAATTCCAGTTGAACTTAGCATTTAAGAGTTTGTTTTCTTTTTCAAATAATGCGAAAATAAAATTCTGTTTTTCGTTTCTGTGTGCGTTGAAGGAATTTCTTCGATATTTTCGATTCGTTTTTTGTTTTGTTTTATTTAATTCGATGGTGAACATAATTAAATTGAATTTACCTAGAGTTTTCTCGCTTCGGTTAGTTTGTTGTTCTATTATCGACTAAACTTAAATTTATCTACACGCTTTTTACAATTAGAATTCGTTTAAACTAGTTGACTTAAAACTTATTGTATGACATATTTACAAACGTCGAATTGTTGTCTACGACCTCGCCTCTCCTCTCCTTTCTCATATATATTCTTTTTGGCGGCTTAACTAACTTAACGCATTTAAGTACAAATCAATTGCAATTTATTTTTAAACTAGGCTAGAGTCTGGAACAAAACTCGATTATCGTCGATTATCAGCTAAAATAATTCATCAATTTGTAACAATTTTGGAGAGCATCCTCAAAACAAATCAAGTGGAACATGTGTGTGTATGTGTGTGTGTTTTTTCGTATAATTATTTATAACATTAACTACTATGCAGTCGTCGCCTTGATCGATTTAACTTACACTTAACTATATAGCTTTGTTTTCTTTTTGTTATTCACCGAAAATTGCTCATCCTCATCGTCATCATCGGTTCGTTTAGTGGAAGTGCCAGGATACGCTCTCAACTATACTGCACTGTCCAGAGACATAACCAAACATATATAGAGCATATAGCTTTTAGCATTATCGTAACGTATCCCTCGATCATTGTTAACGTTATTCTTAGTTAATTTCGTGTTGGATTCTACATAGCCACTGGGTGTCAGAGACGCGCCTTAGAAGGTCCTTTTTTTTGGCGATTTAAATCAATCATTCAATCATACGTGTGTCAATCAAGAAATCAACCAAATTGGAAATGAAGCCATACGCAAACGCAAGACAAAAGCATGAAATGAGGTCAACCGATAAGGAAGTGGAAAAAAGAAGTGAAAGAAATAGGTTAGTACAATTTAATTGGCTAGCAGCCAACCGGCCAACCCTTCTATAAAGTAATTGGTGGTTCTTGGCAATAGGTAACGGCATTTACTCATCCTCCTCCTCCCTGAAGAGATATGTGCTCCAGTAGACCAGGTTGAACAGGGCAAAGACCAGCGGGAAGGTGATCCGCGAGATAACGTCGATCCTCTTCGATCTAGAACATTGTCTTTGGATATTAAGCAAGTACGAAAATACAAATTAATTGATCATCTAGAGATTGGCTTTTTGATTTTTGTGATTAGTTTTTTCACTGTTTTTCTTCATTTCAACATTTTAAAAAGTTAATTTTGCAAATATTTGGCAGAGAATAATTTGTTTGTTTTAAAAGGCGGAAAAACACTACGTGTGCTGGTAAACCAAACAAAAAAAGTGCGCTTTCTGGTGGGGAAAGTTAAGATCTACGACAGTGTGGAAGAAGCTGGGGATGCTGGGTTGGGCTGGGTTTTGGGGGGGTTGGTTTGGAGGGTATTTGGCAATGGCTACAACTAAATATGTATATATATTTTAAAACAAACAAATCACACAGAAAATGACTGAAAAGCAAAGCATAACTTTATCAAAACGCCACCAGAAGCGGTGGCAATCCAAAAGGGGTTTAACTTAATTCAAATGAACAAATTGAAATTCAATTATATATTTAAATATTTCACAGATACCATTAGAAGTCGTTACTATATATCTTTTTTTAGTTTTTTGAGTTCAGTTTTTGTGGCAACAAAAGACAGCGAGCAAACAGAATCGAACGAACGAACGAACGGCAAGCAAGCGGCAGATATCGGGTTTTATTTTGGTTTCGTTTTGGTTTTTCGTTAATCTTTTTCGGTTTCTTTCACAGGATTTCAAATGACTGTTGAATAGTTGTAATGTGATAGCAAAAAGTCAACAAGAGTTAGTGAAAGAGATACAGAGAGTAGAATAGTACATGTTCACAACATCAAAAAGTAAATCCATCAACTACTACGGAACACAATGTGGGGGACTAAACGATATATCTACACGGTGGGCATTTGGATGAGTGGATACTCTTTTAATGGGGCGTCCGGAGCGTGGCTCCGAATCTCAGTTACCTGGTGGGGAACTTGGAGAGCCAGGTCTTGCAGCAGTTGGGTCGCTTCGGGGCCTGCATGTGCACCTCGCACTGGAGCCGCTTTTCCAATGCCAGCGGATCGCCGGGATGACGGACCAGCGGTTTCTGTTGGCCACCGCCACCGCGTGTAAATTGCGACGCCGTTTGACATGAAAGTTTCGATTGTAGTCGGATGCAAATGAGGGGCGATCGGTGGTGGTTTGGTTGTTGGGTGGTTGGGTGGCACAGGTGGCGCAGGTGGTTCAGGTGGTTCGGTCGAGTGGATGCAATGGCATGTGCGTAATTTGATTTAATTTCGTTGCAAATATTTCAATTCAATTCCGGTCGAGTTGTTTGTTTTGGTTGCCAGCGATGGTCGGTGATGGTTTGGTGGTTGGTTGGTTGGTTTGTTTTTTTGCAGGTTTTATTTATAGTTTATTTGTGGATGGTTGTTGATGTTGTTGGGGAGGTGGTTAGTAGTAGTTGTTGTTAAAATTGTAGTTGGGATGAGCACGTTTGAAAAAAGTTGTTGAATTTTGCATTTGTTTTTTGGAGGTGGTTGTTGTTGTTTCGTATTTCATTTTTTTGTGGTAATAAAAAAGAGGCAAATATAAAAGGAAATAGTTGTTTTAATAGTTTTATCATAACTGTTTTGTTGTTGCCAATTATGGTTTTTGTACTCCACTAAAAAAAACCAACATGAAAGTAGATAAATTTCTGCTGGATTAAAGCCCAGACCCGCGGGTTCAAAAAAGGAAAATAAATGTAAAGGATTTTACGCGATTCTATAATAATTGCTCACTTAAAGTTACCCGTTTTAGCCTTCTGGCAATTGACTTTAGTATAATGAGAGCTAACCAAAGAATAAAAGGTAAAGTTGGGGCTTATGGCAATTGAAGAATCAAATCTGACTCAAATTATAAATCCCTCAGTGGTATGATATCAAAGTAAAGCTCCTGACGAAAATGTATAATAACTTGTAAGGGTTTAATGAGTGGTTCTTTTAAATATGTTATACATCATTTGTACAATAAAATGTTTAACAAACTTTTCGTTTTATTTTCTGGTTTCAGCTCAATATAATCAAAATGAAAATCGGAAGAGTACACCCTTTGTCATAGCTGTATCTAAGACCCCCAATAAACCGAAAAGCTGCTTGGTTTTCGTTTTTCGTAAAGAGATATATCAAGAGGTAAGTACCATTGCGAATGTTGCATTGCTATCTGTATCTAGCAGATCTGAAGCGGCATCTAAACTGGCCTGCTCCAGATCGCGGCGCTTCTTTTTCATATTCTCCTTATGCATGTCTGCGGCCCGATCCGTATATATCATAGATATATGTTGCATGTGATAGAAGATGTTTGACAAGAATTTATTTGTTCCACGGCAGATCGATAGGTTTTTTGATTTTTGGATTTTTACAGGTTTTATTGGGTGTGTTAGTTTTAGATGCATAGTTATACACAGTTATACAGTTAGACAGCGATAGCGTTAGGCGAGAGAGAGAGAGAGATAGAGACAGACAGAAAAAGAGAGATAGAGATAGATAGTCACACATACAAAAACGTTAAACGATTCGAAATGTTTAGTAAAAATTAAAACAATAATATGAATGAGGATCAAGGATCAATCATGTAAAAGAAATAATAAATCGAGTGCAATCATATATCGACGAGGTCAAAGGGTACGCAGGATAATATCAAATTATACGGAAATCAACCAGAGATCGGTTGCAGATACACACATATTTGTTTTATATATTTACAAGCATTTTGTTTAAACAACACCGAGATGGAACCGAACACAAATCGATTTTCGATTTTATTTCGAAAGAAGGGAAGGTCGACCAATTTGTTAATTGTATTTTGTTTGTATTTTTTCAAACGCGTTATTGTGGATAGTGTGAGTGTGAGTGTGAGAGTGAATAGTGTGAGTGTGAGTGTGAGTGGATGGTGATCAGTGATGCATGTCGATGAATGGCGGGCGCACAATGAAATAAGAGAGTAAACATAAAAACGTTGGATTAGTTTGATATACTCGAAGGACCTTTTCGTGGTTAGTTATCAAAGTCAAAAGGTTAAAAAAGGAAAAACAAATCTATCAAAAATGCTACGACTAAACTCGATTTGGCTTTCGCTCATTGTCAGACATAGGGGACAAGAGAGTGGGCACAGCGGGACTCTGTGTGTGTGTTTATATATAGTAAGGATGTGGCCCAGGACTTTTGTGGTTTCAAGTTGTTGTTGTTGTTGTTGTTTAGTGCCACGCCGATCCTGGCATTGGTTATCGAGTGTGTTGTTGTTGTGGGTGTATTTAGTGTTGCTTTGGCCGAGCTTTCGGGTCGGTGTGGTTTTTGTATGGTACAAGTATGCGTAGACATTTATATATATATGGTTATACTATATATAGATATGTACGTATATATATAGATATATATTCGTCATCACTCAGTACAATAAAACAACAGTAAAAAAAGATAAACACCATCGATTAATTAACATTTATATGTAGTTAAGAAGCATATCAAAGTTCAATTACTAGCTTTGTTCGAACCTGAACGGGATGCATAGTTCACCAGGGCGAACTCGAGCAGGGCCCCGAACACGAACGTCAAACACACGCCGGTCCACACATCGATGGCCTTCGTGTAGGAAACGGGCGGCAGGGAGGCATTAATGCCCGACGTCTGGGTGGCCATGGTCAGCAAGGTGGTAACACCTGGAAAGGTGGGATATTATATAGAGGGATTTTTTTATATTAGATGGATGCGTTTTCACTAGGTAGCAATGTATGGTTGAGGGTTACAGATTGCATCTTATAGTTAGGTTGGTAAACTTTACTTTAGTTAGTTACAAGAAACACTTAAGTCAAGTGTGCGAGTCAGTCTCTGAATTCTTTTAAGTAATTGGATCTTAAAGTTAAGTAGCTGGTAAATTTTACTATACTTTTAGTTTCAAGAAACACTTTAATGGAGTCAGTCTCTGAACTCTCTTGAATACTTTCTCAAGGTAGCGACCATAAGTATGCTATGGTTTTTGTATCTTAACTCACTTAACCAGCGCACTGGTGCCTTTTCTTGTTCGCTGATCAAAGGGATTTGAATTCAAACTCTTTATCTTGCAACTATATAAATTTATAAATAAATAGGAAGTAAATTTAGAACCTTATTTAGTATTACTCTTGATCCTGTAAAGATGAAATCATATATAAATATATCTTTTTCTCTAATAGCCAGAGGTCGTTTTAAACAGACACACATAAGAATAATTTTGTGTTTAAGGCTTCAAAACTTCATCACATTCTTTGAATATATTGCTAACAATCTTTTTTTACATTATAACAAATATGATGTACTTTTAAATACTTTTTTATGAATTTTTTTAACCTATTACAAATTACAAATTAACATTAAATATTTTGGTCTAAATAAAGACTCATTCAGTGTATTAATTTTGCATTTCTAATTTAACCATTATGTAATTGTATGTACTATTTCTGGCACGAAAATATTAATATATGAGTAAATATATTAGCAGATATTCCTATTATATAAAAAATCACATTTAATAGTACAAATAGATAAGATCACACAAAATATATAGAAAACTGATTGAAACTTACCCAGTGACACTCGTGCAGGCACTGCTCCTTGATCCAGCCAGAATGATACCCATGATACAATGACCAACATACAGCATGGTATATAAATTTGTATTAAGTAATATGAGAATTCTCGCTTGAATAGTAGATCGACTTTGAGGCAACTGTATTCACCTATGAGTATACAAGGTATATAAATTGTGTCAAACTCAAAATGTACGGGAGGATGTATTAAAAGAGGCTTTCATCTTTTTGATTTAGGCAAGTTTGCTTTCGCTTTTTTGGTTTAAATTGTCACACGCACACACAGTTTTAGAAGGTATATACACACACAGATAGATATCCAATATATGGTACAAAGAAATGACATCCAATAAAGAGGAAACATAAAAAGTGTCTTGCTCGGAAATTTTGCCAAGAATAGAAATTAAAACACATTTACAGAAGGTTTTTTTTTTAGTTTTTTTGGGGTCATGTCGAGTCTTTTCTGGTATGTACAAAAAAGTGGGTTTTCCGAAACGTAAAAAAAAGAAAGAAAATAAAAAGTGGCGAAAACATATTATACAACGGGGACTTTTTTTAGGTGGGGTTTAAGAAGACATAATGTATTTACAGGAAAAAAAAAAAAAAAAACTCAGCTCTGAGAAATACGGAGAAGGAGGTGTTGTAAGGGTGCTTTGGCACACAGAGAGTTGAAAAATTATAAAATCAAATGAAAAATTGCATCATAGGCAAAAAGGTATCAACATGAATTCAATTTCTGACTTTTTGCAACAAAAATCTTAACGGAAATGAAGTTCGACGGCTTTTGTGTTCAGTTGGTTCATGTTGCTTTTCTGCTTTTCATTTCGCTGACTTCCGCTTGACAAGCCACGCCCCCTTTTTGCTCCCAACCCCGCCCCCAAGGACGCGCCTAGCTCCGCCTTCATTGATTTGCCCCACCACCCCCTCGATTTTTGTGCTTCATTTCCGTTAATTTGTTGGCAAAGCGTTCCATACTCTTCAAGACAAAGTTGTTTATTATTTTACATTCTCATATTTTTTTCGGGGAATTTTTGTTTTGTTTCGTTTAAGCGTGCTGCTGTTTCATTAAGATTTCTCTCTGTGTCTGTTTTGGCCAGGCTTTCATTTCCCTGTTTGCACTTGAGTGCTGCCTGCGTGTGTGGTTTATTTGCTCGGCTCTTTGGTCTGGGTTTGATTCTGATTCTGGGTTACTGGCACGGGCACGGGCTCGGGCTTGGTTACGGGTGCCCGGGTATGGCATCACATCTGGAATGGTTCGCATTGCGGCGGCTTTGGCTTTGGCTTTAGCTTTAGCAGCCATCGGTTGTGCCTTTGGCTTTTGCGACAGGCCATCATCAATCAAGCGATGACTCTCATTCTGGCCAGCTCGGATACGAGCGGTCTTAAATCCCGTTCAACGCTCATAGAAGATATAAAATTAATAAACTTTATGTGAGCAACTAGGTTCAAGGCGAGAGATCTAAATTGCAACAACTACGCAACGTCTAAGTGGAAAAAGTCATATTAAAGGGGGAGGCGCATCAAGGCAATATCTAAGGATTTCAAGACTTTTAAAGGGGAATCTAAGAATAGGCAATAACATCATTTATCACAAAATTTATAATCTTGAAAGATTCCTTAAAGGATATTATTGCCTTCTCTTAAACACACCTTTAAAAAGTATTTTTTACAAAGATATAGCTATGAGTCCACCCCAATTTAGTTGATATAAATTAGACTTGAGCTAAATATGATTATTATTATTTTTTTGTTGGTTTCATATATCGGGAGTGATGAAATTCAGGCTCATGCTAACTTATTTGTGGATGGATGATGGGGATGATGGCACTATTTAAAGAGAGATATTGAGATAGAGAGAGACTTCCATTTTTAGTAATTGGTAAACAAAAAATAAATGTGTAGAGTCAGCGGATTCATGTTTGAATTAGGTGAAGTTTCCACTAGATAAATACACGGATTCCAAATGATTGCTCTGTTTGTTCGGGCTTGCCGTTAACTATCCTAATATGCTGACACACAATCTGCCAACTTGTGGAAAAATCTTTGCTTTCTCTTCTTGTTTGCTTCCATTTTCCACTTCCACCTCCACTTTGGGATCTACATCCACATCGCCATCTTGTTCAGTGCATCGTCTTTGTGCAAGTTTAAACAACGTCGTCGCAGACAATTTCCTCGATTAATTTACTTTCCGTACGGCTTTTGCCATTTTTGCCTTCAATTTTCCGTTTCACATTTTGACGGGGAAATTTGCAGGGGGGTGGGAGTGGGGGAATCCCCCTCCCCACCATTTCCCTGGTAGTGCAACTGGAATAGTTGTTCGCCAAGGTAAACATTTACTTTGAGCGCGCGCAGATTTCCAAGTGCTCATAAAAAACGGCAAGGTAAACGCGTGTGCGAGTGTGTGTGTGTGTGTGGAAAGCGCGTGTGTGTGAGTGTGCGAATTACATCGTAAAAAAGTTGATTCTATGCGTTTCGGGCATTGATAACGGCCCAAAACGATATGCTCATTGAAATGGCGCATGTGTAAACGGCATCTTATAAAATTCGCCACGTGTATGTATATATGCTGGGTGCGGTAGTATGGGTAATTGAGAGTGTATGCTTGGGTGTGTGTGTGCTATGAAGTGGTTATGGGGCCGTTTATAATATTCTCCAGTTGGGACCCAAACACACATATTTACGATATGGCTAGAGCTAAAGTTAAACCACTTGGCATGCAATCGCTGGGGAGCGTTTAATACAAATGCAAACAAAAACGAAAACGAAAACATAAAATATACGCAACCAGCGAGTTGAACGAGTAAAAAAGCTGAGAGTTCTAGGAGAATAGTTAACATTATTGGGAAATACATATATGAGTTCTCTGGAAACGAGAAATGAAAGGTCCAACAAAAAACACACACATACTAAACGCACGTACCCGTATTAGTTTTACTGTTGCAGTAATCAGTCAGAAACTTCTCCAAAGTGAAGCGTGGCAGGTGTAAATTCTTAACCACCTGCACAGGATCACCCTCCTTCCAGAGGAAGACCAAGTCATTGGTGGTCCAGCCATCTGAAAGAACATACAGAGGCACCATTAGTTGTCGGAGATTAATAAGAATTAATGATAATAATAATTATAGTAATAAATCAGGACAGAGATTACATTTTTAACACTTAGCACTTAACAATGATACTTTAGAAGCTCAGAAATGTACCACAGAAATGTCTTTAACTAATATTAATCAAATTTAATCATATTAATATAATAGTTTGATTATTATTGAGGTCTCGGGAGCTTACTTGCAATGAAAATAAGATAATAAAAAACTCAGACATTAAGGCAGATATACCATTAAGGTCATACATTTTTTAAAGTTTCTTAGACATATTTTATTCTAAGTTATATTAATTTCCTTATATAAATTAATAGAGAAGACTATACTCACAGCTCGCCATCCTTAGCGAACATATCTGCCTGTCCAGTGGATATAGCTTGAGGTTCATTGGGCAGGCCAATGTCAGCGAGATACGTATACTATATAGCACAGAGCCATTGGGGAAGATGCGTATATAAACATTGGGCATGATGATGTTGTGGAAGTGTCCCTCCTTCTCGTTGGAGAAGAAGAGATCGGGCATCCACACACGATTCGCCTCCGTCAGGGTCAGGTACTTTAGGCGGCCTATGGGAAACGGAGAGTTTTCGATTAGCCAATCCAATTTAGAGTGCTCTCTAGACTTACCCTGGATATCGTCGAACTTGAGGCGCTCATCCGTCCACTGTTCACGGAAGGTTAACTGCACACTGTACTCCTGCGGGCGCCGGAAGTGGGTGGTGATGGTGGGTGGTGTTTGGGCAGAGGGAAACTCTCATTAGTAGACGAAATCAAAGGGACTCTTTGAGGATTCAATCAGAACTACAATGCAAATTTCGCTTTGTCGAATTGAAAGGGGAGTTTCTTTCGAGCTTTCCTTTCTTTTCAATTTTATTCTTTATTTTTAGACTGTGTACTGAGGGGCTTTTCAATTAGGGAGGGTGGCTTGCAGTTCGATTTATTTAATTGAATTTGATTTGATTTTTTGGTTGACGGGGCTTTGGCTTTACGTTGGACAGAGATTTGTTTGGTTTTGGAGTATGAAAGAGCGAGCAAGGCGTGGCGAGGCGAAATAGTTGTTATTTGGCATGTATAACTGAGTGGTATATTTGATATTGATATTCGTATATATTGATATTGATACATGGCGTATAATGGAAAGCTGTCGTTTTGGCTTGGGTTCCGGCTAGTTTGCAATGTTCTCGGCCAGGCGAATGTCATGACTAGTAAATATATTTCATGTTCGCATTGTTCGGAATGCAACCAAATGCAAATGCCACATGCAACGTGTTGCACACACATTTAAATGTTTAAAAATGCAAGCAGGCTAAAAGCAGGCAAGAAACACGTCAAGACAAAAGCAAAACGAGCAAGCAGAAAAGCAAGGCACCTAAAAACGTACATTCAAAACCGTGTATAAATTGTTTATTCCCCGAACAAAGGAGAAATTATTCATTAAATTTAAACTTAAAACTACCTTAAGTTGTTAAAGTTTCATGCTGAGAAATCGTTTATAAACAATGATGCAGTTTTGAGGGCTTGAATTGTGATGAACCCTCCGTCGAATGATATCTTGAAAGTAACAAAATGCACCCCTTTAGCTAAGCTTCTTAAACACAAACTTTTTCCCCCCACGGTTAATTAGTAAAAAACTTTCTAAAGTGCATGCCATAAAAGGTAACTATAACATTCAGTCATGCCATTTCCACAGGAGACGGGGGGATTAACAAAAATAATTGGGACTTAATGAAAAATTGAATTAAAACCAACTGAAATTGCGTAGAAACGCTGTTAGTTTGGTTAAGTAACATGTGTATCATTATATATTTTAGTATATTCCTCTAAGCTTCGCGCGATTCCCAGAAAAAAGTGGGGAAAACGTTATTGCAACCAATTAAGCAAAGTGAAAACAAATAAATTTGAATAATTATTACAAATAATTCCATATTATTTATAGCGCGTTGCTTTTTATGCGCAAAATTAAATGTGTTTGTCGGGTTTTTTATGCCAGCCGTTGGCTGTCGGAGCTGTCCGCTTTTTGCCAACGATTTTCCTGACAGCGGAAACCGAACTGGACAAATGGAGATTGCCACTGGCTCTTCCCCCCATTTAGTGTTAACACATGTCGCCCCGGCACGACATCTCCCAGTTAGTACTTACAGTTAGCCCTGCTGTCAGAGGACCCCCTTGAAAGGGGAACACTCTCTTAATTAGCGGCTTAAAATGATGATGGTTTACCATAAGTGAATGAACCGAATCAAATCGAATCGAACGAAACTGAACTGAATGATCTGAGGGATTGTGGCTTGGTGGCTGAAGAATGATGTCGGATGTGGGTGTCTGTTGTTCTTGTTGTCTGACGGTGCTACGACTTAAGCCTTAAGCCTAGCCTAGGTTATAGCTAAAACTTAGATTATAAACTCAAATTAGCCTTTACTCGGTTCTCTCGGCATCGTCGTCGGTGGGCGGTGGTTGGTGGTGGCAAGCAATAAGCAGGTTTTGCCCCCTCGCGTTTCGTTAAATGAAAAAGTGGACACAAAGAAATCATAGGTATTTTACATAGTTTAAGATATATTGATACAGCGGGATTATAGTTATGCATATTCTGTTTGTATAATACAAGTACATCGGTAAGGCTAGCTTAAGAGATATACATATTGGTGGCTTGAAATCACTTACAGCTGCCCCAAAAAGTATGCTAAGAATTTTAACTTGACTTCTTTTAAGGATAATTGCAAGTGTTTTCAAATCACCAGCGACTGTCGTGACTTCCCCTAATATATATATATATAAAGAAAATTTACAAGTTGCATCGGAGGCATCGAAAGTGACCCGATTTAGTATATATATAGTTTACGTCCCCCACATACACACACAGACACACTTAAGGACATTTATTATTAATGCAATTATTTAATAGGCCCAAGTTACTGGATTATCTTTTTGTAGACATACACACACGCACGCACAATTAGAGCAAAGTGAGATAGAAGCGCTTGGGATTTATCTGTAGTAGTTTCTGTACTTGGAGTTGTGGTGGTGGTGTAGTTGTGCTCTGGGCTGTGCTCTTGGCCGGAACTCACCATTTTGTAGTCGTCGATTTTGGATATGGATCGCAGGAACATGTTGACTTTCACAATGGTGGCCAAATTAGCTAGAAAATCGGCATATCAAAATCGTTTCTCCACCGCCTTTTCCTGCATCCGCTTAGCCTAGTCACTCTTACCAACTATCATAGTAATTAGACGCTAGAGCTTACACTTACTTACACGCTAAATTTTGATGAATTTTATGTGTGAACGGAATGTGTGCTTGTCAATCAAAAACAACGAAAAAAACAAACTTAAACAAAACTGAAAAGAAGACCTAAACTAAAAAGAAAATAAAATAAAGGAAACGATGTGAATTTAATAGAATGTTAATAAAGGAAAATGTCTGTATGGATCTCATTAAAAAATAGTTTTTGGTTACCATTTAATTTCCTTGATTTATATATATAATTTTTAGTGTGTTTAATTTAAAAGATTTGTATAAATATTGCATGCCTTCCTTCTGCTATTCGGATTCAGTTCCAGATTCCGTTCTCAAACTTTAAATTCGTTTCGAGAATATTTAAGCCGATCCTATATTCAGGTTTTTATGTGTTTCAATTAACTAAATGAAGAAAGTAAACTATTTTTAATTGGTTTAAGTTCTTTTTTAACGGGTTTACAGGGGATGAAAAAGATTGGTTACGAGGGCGGTTAAAAGGATAAAAAATAGTTGGGCGACACAGATACAAAGCACACGATTAAAATTAACAGTTCACAGTTGAATTTATTGTTTTACTAAGTACAGAGAATAGCATAAATTATATAAATTTGATTAATTCACAGATATTTTAGTATTGGTTTTTTCTTAGTAAGCAAAAGGCGTAATTGAAAATAAACTCGTATATAATTATTAGTCCGAGGCTAAATAGTAGATGGTCTGCATCCGCTCATCACGGTTATAAATAGTTCAATGGGATTAATTAATTAATTATTGTTAGTGGAAATTTATAAAATTTGTACAGAGAGTGTAGGAGAAAAGCGGGGAAAATTAATCTAAAAATTGGACTATTTTATTTTATGGTTGGAAATAAAGAAAGAGATAGACACAGCGAGAGACAGAGATAGATATATAGAGAGAGAGATAGTTAGAAGGTAGATAGACTGTGTAGGAAAGAGATCCAAAAAGACATTTTTTTTCGCATAATGTTTTGTATATCTTTTTGTTTTTTTTTTTGATTCACTACAAAACGGTGGAGTGAGTATTTTATTTTACAATTCTTTGACATGAGAAAAAAACAAAGAGAAATGCAAGTGAGAGAATTCAAGTTACCAATGCAAACTGACAGAACAAAAGGCGCTAAGTTAAAATGCAATCGTCAACTTAAAGTCAAAACTAATCAGACAATTTGGCTTTTAATTTGCTAACAACCCAATACGTAAATAAATCAAAATCAAGTATCAAATACGAAAATCAAATTACACCGATAGTCAAACAAAGTATTATGTATTATAGATACCAATATCAGATATATAATATAGTACGTTAGCATATATATATGGTTTTTTTCATGTTTATACAATATATTCTTGTTTCCTTTCGAGTGTTTTTAGTTGCCTTTCGGCTCCTAACGAGAGTGAAGAGACCAGAACATAGTTTTGGACGGGCACCAAAGAGTGAGACAGAGAGAGAGAGAGAGAGAGAGAGAGAGAGGGAAAGAGACTGGGGGACCAGAGAAAGAGACAGAGCAACTGGGTGGGTTCATTGACCCGAGACCTATGACTATACGACTTTGAGCATCCACTTGCGGTCAAGGGGTACTAAGTGGGGTTTCATTCTTTGTTTTTATTTCATTTTCATGGTGGATCGGTTGGCTTTTTTGGTGGCGCGAACTTACCATGGTTACATCATCGATTTTTGATATACTCCTAACGAATATGTTGACGCGCACCACGGCGGGACCATCTGGAGGACGATACATGATAGATAGACATTTTCACCGATTTGCACAATACTTTCAATGTAATATACAAGAAGAGATTTGATTTTTTAACAGCTGCCGCAGGGTCCGGCCCTAAAACAAACTTAAAATGACCCGGCATGCGACCTCCTTCGCCGTCGGTCCGCTTTTTGTGATACACCCTTTGTACCCTCGAATATTCGGCCTTTGGCAGTCCTTATGCCTTTATGTGGCCCCTCTGTAATAAAGTTTTATTTTATAGCCTTCCTCCCGGTTGTTGTTTTCCTTCTTATTTTTCGTTTTTTTTGTTGGATTTTGCTTACTTACTAGAATACAAAAAGTTACTAGCAAGTTCACTTCCAGTTTTGCTTACAAAGCTAAGCTAAGTCAAAGAATATTTTCTTCTCGATTTTTGTTTCGTTTTGTTTGCGTTTTTTATATACCTAAGTTAAGCTAGAATTTATGTACGTTACTAAAGTTGCTTTGTTTGTCTATGAGTTGTTTTTGTGACCTTCGAGAGGGTGGCTTATACGGTGGGGGTCTGGATTCTGGTGGCTCTATGTACGGGGGGTGTATGGTGTGGCTTGTGAGTGTGTGTTACGAGTATGAACAAAATACGGTGGGGTGGTAGTATCTCTGTGATTGCCTTCCGGAGTGGCTAATGCTAATTGATATGCCTTAATAGTTAATATTTATCAAACTGGCAAAATATGCGGACTATATTCGTGACTCTATGTGTCGTCGTTGCCATGATTCATGTCCTATATATGTATGTAATATGTGACTGGGAATGTGACTGTGAACGGTGACGGGAGGGGAGAGGAGGCTGTGTCGAGCTATTTTCAAATATTTATGCTGCCCCTACATTATTAATGATGTCATTGCTGCGGTAAAAGTCAACATGACAACAATAAAATTAACTGCAAATGAAATCAAAACGTTATTTATATAATTGTAAAACGAAAAAGTCGAAACGATAAAATGAGCACTTCAAACTGGACAGTGAATTGGGTTTTTTTTAGTAAGAGAGAGTCAATATTAAAATGACAAACACATATAATTATTGCATTTAAAAATGTTTTTAAAATGACATTGAAAATGGCGCCAGAATCGCCGGCAGGGTATAGGAGAGCGGATATCCGCTTTGCCAAAGCGGGCCCCGATAAGTAGGCAATGGATTTTTCTCATTTCGATTTCCGTTTTCCGGTGGTGTTAGGTGTTGCTTATATTGACTTTGCTGGGTTTATTTGCTGTTAATCTCAAACGAAACGAAAGGAACGCTGTTTCTAGAAACAATCGGAACGGAAAGAGAAACTGGGGAATATGTACTGGTACAATTTTGCCATATAAATCACTGGCAAAAATCAAACGTAAATACTTAGCATCGAATGGTTCATACGCATTTATTTATATATATATATTTAAGTATCGAGGGAAATATAGAACGAGTCAACGCAAAACGCAAAAACAAGTGTGTGTGTGTGTGTGTGTATGTGTTTGTGTTTGTGTGTGTTTATAGTGCGCGTGTGTTTTAATGCTTTCTAATTTCTTAATGGAAAGGCAAAGTTAAATAGCAAGAGAGGGAGAGAGTGAGAGAGGGAGCTCGAGAATAAAGGTGGTGTCTGGTGGAAGGGGTCAATCTATCGAACCGTTTTCGAATCGTTATCGAATTACTGCCTCTGCTTCAGTGCAACTTACCATTTTAATATCACTAATCGTCATAATACTGCGTACGAATAGATTGATTCTGACTATGGCGGGACCATCTGGCATAAAGGTTGGTTCAAACGTGAGTTTTGCGACGTAAATGTAGAGTGATTAACTTATAGATCTGATCTAACTAGGCTATATAGATAATGCTGATCTCCGATTTGCATACTAAGCTACGTCAGGTATGTCTCACTATTGTTTTGATTTTCATTATATTTTTAATTTCGATTAAGAGGCTTACACTAGCTAACAGCTTGGTAATTTTGTTAAGCAGTTATCGTATATATATAGATATAGTTTATTCCCTGGCATACATAATCAACAAAAAGCAAAAAAAATAAGGCATATTTGCACAATCAAACAAAAGTCGCATTAAAGTCATATATAAAGAAGTTATTAAAATTATTAAAAAATGTCATAGAGGATATATATTATATATATATTATTTCGGTTAAAAACTATGTAGTATTAATTGGAATTTTTCTCACCTGTGCCATTGATTCCAGATGGTCGTATTCGGGCATCGTATTTGCCTGCACCTAAAATTTGATCTAAGACTTTTTTCTCCTTTTCTCGGAAATTTATTTTGGCATTATTTGCTCTGAAATCAGGATATGGATAGGCACGCATGTATAATTTAAAAATTTGTTGCTTCAGTGTGTTTGTTCAAATTTTGTTGGAATTTGAAAATATTAAGTTGTTATTGAAGATTTGGAAAAAACATTAGCTGAGCAAATTGTTAGTAATTATTAATTTTTTTTAAGAAATGTCGCATAAAAGGAAAATGTTTGCATACAATTTACAGCAAGTTATCTTAATTGATTATTGTTTTTTTTTTTTTAAGAAGGTATGTACAAATTGATTGGAGGTGTGGGAGGGTGTGATTGTCGTTATCCGTTAGCTGGTAGCTGGTATTATACACTGTCGCACATACCAAAAAGCCGGGGCAAAGTCACATAGCTGCTGACTCTGACCTCGACTTGAGCGAAAATAATTCCAAAATTTATGCTCCGACAAAAAATTACACGAAAATTAATTACATTTTAATGAGGTGTCCTCGTGGCGAGTGTATGTCTGTGAGTGTGTGTATAAGTGAGACAGGATATGCAAATTCAAGTATGTGACTAAAGTTGTGGGCGTAAACAGCGACAACTGAAAAGCAAACTACAGCTGGAAGCTACTAAAACTACTTCTGTATAAACCGATACATATATACACTGTAAAACAAAAATAGGGAAGTTTTTACAAATTATTTAATAAGAAATCTTTAGAGAAATCTCTCTTCCAGAATTGATTTCTTTTATTAAAGTTCAGTTATTGAACTACATTTTATTCCTTGTTTAATAATACGCAATGGTTTTTAAACCTCAGTGTATAGACATATGAAGTGGCTTATACGCAATATATATGTAAATCGGCATCGCTGTTTCATAACTGGGCGTGGCTGGGCCAAATTAACGACAATTGTATGTAAATCGCAGCTTGAATGCCACTTTCCGGCCAAGTGCAGTGTGAAACACGCGAAACAAGAGCCGCGCGGAATTAAAATTAAGTAAAGTTAAAAGTAAGTGGAAAATAAATGGTAAAGTGACGCGAGAGACACAATTTGTGAAGCGTGATGGTTTAAATATTGCAGCTACTGTATGCGAGGGGCGAGTGTATTCTGTGTGACTCGGATCTGGATAGTTCAGGCATTAAGGAGTACTTACAGTGAAGCACTGCACAGGCTGGCAAAGTATAGGATCGCCCAGAAATAGTGTCCGCTGCCCATGTTGGGGAATGTGATGGTGTCCTCCTGGTGTGTCTGCGTGTCCTGCGTCCTGATTCGTTTCTCTGTTCTCCTAGGTCCTTCCTCTTAGCTGGCTGCGAGCTGTAAGCAATAATGTTACAAAACATTAATCTGAATTCCATCTCAATAGATAATCATAGTGGTTTATTCTCATCTCTCCCCCCAAAATCAGTGTTCATTCACTAATTCCCACACACACCACACACACACACAGGCCTTGCTCTGATTCGCGCCGTGTGTGCGGCGTGTTAAATTAAATTTGAAATCGTATTAGGCCAATTAACATGCCATTTGGCCAATCTGTGTCGCTCGGTGCATCGAATTGCATCTCAATCTGCATAGAACACAGTGTCTTCATGGCAGCCTCTGTCTGTTAATGGGGCCTTCCGAATGCAAAGTGTGGCCATAAATGCAATTAAATCTGCGATGTGATCCCAATGGGAAATTGAAAATTTAAAAGGTCTTGACACCGTAATGCCGCTTAAAGCTGTTGCCCAGGGAATCCATTAAATTGCCTGCAGCCTGCGGGCCATTCATGAAAAATGCAAATTGCAATCGCAGCTGGGCTACAAAAGACTGTGCCAAGGATTGTTTCCTTTTTTTTAAGGTGTGAACGTTGCCAGATGTATGCTCTTTTGATGTTTTGTATAATTTATTGTCATATAGAAATGGTATAAATTAAATGAAGAGATCTTTAGGAAGATTAAGTTCCCCTTTGATTTTTCATGCATTCAATATTTAATATAATATTTATATCAATGGTTTTAGCAAATGGAATGCTGGTATTTGATTGAAATCTTATTAATTCTTTATCTTTCTAGTTATAGAAGACGTTTTTGTTTGTAGTTAATTATTCCATTTGTTCCAAATACATATAACTGACACTGAGATAATAACATTTTCCCCTTTCTTGTGATTATTATTATTATTATTTCAAGACCCCTTCAATGCATTGTTTTATCTATTGTTAAATAAGATTATCCCTATCACTTCATTAAACTTTACTCCCCTGTTAAATTATTCACAAGCTTAAGACACTTAAAATAAATAATCTCCTGCATTGAACATGCTTATCTATGGCTTGCAGGATGCCTCAGGCTACAGACCCTTGGCACTATACCCTCTCATGCTCTGCTGCTCACTTTCATTTCGAAACAATCATTATGGTTTGGCCATTTAAAACAATGCCAACAATGACCGGCAATATTCCAGATGCACACACACATTCATTTATATATGTATATATATCGCTGATGACCAGCTTTTGGTAGGCCGTAGATGCAAAATGCCAGAGCTCACTGAATGGCAAATGCAAAGTGCGTATGCGAATATTGGAATCGAATTAATCCTTTATAAGCATTTTTCTCCACTCCACTGGCCCGACGTGCTGTGTATGTGGCGATAAGTGTTGCATGTGGTGCGCTGCCACGCCTATTTTTGGCACTCCCTTCCGAAGGATGTGCCGCTGCCCCCAGAACATCGAGCATTGGCATGGCCCTGACCGAGGCGAGCTGCCATCGTTGTTGCCATGTGGCCAGCCAGCTGGATCGCCATGCAAATAATCAATTTGTCGAAATGGGAACGGGAATGGATTGGGTTTGGGATTCTGATTGGGGCTTGGGGCTTGAGGTTGGGCTTGGGGTATGCAAATGCCATTGGAAATCCGAATGGATATGGAAATGGAAATGGGTATGAAAATGGCAACAGGCTGGCCTGGCCGCTTGAATTTGCATTCGTGCTGTGTTAATTTGCTGCTGCTGTGCTTGCAATTTTGTGCCATAAATACATGCTGCAGTTGCAGTTGCAGCTGCAGCTGCTGCTGTTGTTGCTGCTGCTTTTGCAGTTGCTGTTGTTGCTGCTGCACCTACATCGGCGTTGAGTTGAGGACATGCACCCGGGGGTTCCCTGTTTTTTTCTGTATTTTCTTTTTTTTTGTTTTGTTTTTGGCCCGCTGTCAAAGAAAGTTAACAATGCGACTGCGACTGCCAAATGTCCCACATTTGCAGCTTGCCAAGCAGTTGGCGCCAAAAACCCCTCCAACCTCCCCCCTTTTTTCCGTGTGCGGTGTAAATGGGTTTACTTTTATTTCATTTGCTTCGGCGTGTGCGTGTGTGTTGTGTTGCTTGTGTGTTTGTGTCAAGTCGACACACTTTTGAGCTTGGCAATGTTTTTACTGTTCCACCACCAACAACAACAACAAAAAGCAACAATAATAAAAACAACAGCACTTGGGCGCTTGTCTACCTCAGCTCGAAGCTTTGAGCTGTTTTAGCCGCTTGTTGTTGCCAAGCTTCGTGGGTTGAATGAACGTCGAAAAAAACTGTGAAAAAATAGTTATTGAGCATATAAATATTTGGTAACTATTTGAGATGGAAAGCGGTTTTGTATGAGGAATTTATAGCAGTCCTTTTCCATTTTCTGTCTATGAATGGGGAAGAACATAAATTATGGTATAAAAGAGCTCAAAAGGGAAAAGATCTTATTGATTTGCTTAGATTAAGATTAAGATCTGGATTGGGAATAATTTAATCTGTTACAAGTTTCAGGTGAAAGCCTGAAATCATATCTGAAAACTTAATTTATATTTTAAACTTATTTATATTTTTAATTTATAAATAATTTTATGGATGGATTTCAAGGAGTAACTCCTGGTAAGTCTACCCATTTAAGTTATTTTTTACTTTCTTAAATAAGTCACTCGAGTTTCACTTATATTTCTAAAAATTTGACTCAAAAGGATGCTGATTTTCGACCCTAATTCTTGGCCATATTCAGAACAATATATTTTCAGATTTATTCATTTATTTTTTTGCAGCTTGAAAGAGATTTTTCTCTAGGGGTATTTATGGGGCTTAGAGCTTCGTCCTGGCTTAAGGCCTTATCTTTTTTATCCCGTTGGCAACATAATTTCTCACAGTGTTTTGGCCAAAAGAGCTGTATGTGCGTATGTGCCATCACACACACTCACACACTCGGGAGCCATACAATCACATCCCGCACACAGTCGTATATATACATCTATATATGTGTTTTTTTTTGCGTTTTATGCCGCTCAGCGGCGCTTGTAGCTCGTTATGTTGATTGGATTTTGTGCCGCCCGCACAAGAAAGTAGTCCGCACTCACACACACTCACACACACACACACACCCCACTGCTCACGCACACTATTAAGGCACTTGCCATGGCGGCTGAATAAAGTCAAGTGTTGTGCGCGTCTGTGTGTGTGTGCGGGTGTGCCTGTGTGTGTGCGTGCCATAAAGCTGGATTCATTTTGTTGCCGCCATCGCCATAGCCATAGCTGATGGTAGATGTTGTTGCCGTTGCCTGTTTGCTGTTGTTTTATTTCGCTGCCCTTACATTTTGCTCCTCATTTTATGTATGCAAAAATTTTACACTCTCGTTTTCGCAATATGATTCTGCTCTCTCTCTCTCTCCCTCTCTCTATCTCTTCCTGTCTCTCGTTCGCTTTATTTTCCTGCTAAATTGTAAGTAAGTGGGCTTAGTAGCATTTTGCCGTTTAGGACTCTTTCCCCTATGGGTGTGCCTGTGTGTGTGTGTTTCTCTGATTTTTTTTTGCAGCGCCAGGATTTGCATAAAGCTCACCTGAGTCTGGCGACTTAACTTTAACATTTAAGAGTCAGTTTGATAAACATTGAACACACAGCGAGTGTGTGTGTTTTGGAAAGCAAGCTGCTCTCTCAGTTGCTTGGTTTATGCATTTATTTTTATACATAAAAACAAATTAATAGAGCTAGTAAAAGTCTGAGAAATATTAATAAGAAGATGTATCTCAAAACCTTTAAGAGTTATTTTCACTAGTCTTAACCTGAATACTCAGTAGCCTAAAGTAGAAATGGTTTTCCAATGTTGTTGGATTACAGGGTAAAGGAAATTCTGTGGGCGGCTGCAGCTGTTGACACGTTTGGGTCACTGAATTGATGATGCAGGATTAACAAGGGAGAGAGTGAAAGGTCAAAGTGCGTTGCATATGGGATTGGTTGAAGCAAGAAACATACTCTTTACCGGGCTTGAGTTGCATAGATATGAAAGGGTAGACTCAATTATATTAACTTTACTAGTAATCCATAAGGAAAGTAATATATGCTAATATGTATAAACATTTTTAAACAATATTTATGAATAATACCAGAGAAAAATACGTTTTTTAAAAGAAATATATTATGAATTACTCATTTTGATATTATTTTACTTAATATTCGGCTTCATCTTGCTTTTATAATAGTAATAAAACCCTCCTTGACTTATTTGATATACAGAAAACAAATAAAATGATTCATAAATAAGTACATTTCATTAATTTATATATTATAAATATAAATAAACTATATATATTATATTCTATCGAGAACTGTGTTACTCTATTTTAATAAATACAGAAAACTTTCTTTCTTCCTTTATGTATATATATATTTTCCGCATCAAATGCGAAAACTTTTGCAAACTTTCCGCTTCCATCTCGCAAATGTCAGGCTCTCTCGTATCACTTGGCTGAGAGGAGCCAAAGGTCACAGCCTGCGTCCAGCTTCTCGTCTCTCCACCCCCTTCTGGTTCGCACTCATAATTAATTGAAATGTCAATACATTGTTTGGGGCGACCCAGTGAAAATATTAATGAAAGCTATCAACAGTGCTGGGGTTCTTCTGGCGGATGTGTGTGTGTGTGTGTGTGCTTCTTCTATTATTAGAACCAAAGAAGGAGAGGCGTCGGGACTCATCTATCAAAAAAGGACCCTATATGTCTGAGCTATTTATAGGATGTACCGTGTGCCGTGTTCGATGTGTGCGCTGGTGTGTGTGTGTGTGGGTGAAATCTGAACTTTAACTGGAAATTAACTTGCATGAAAATTGGCCAATAATTTGCTGGATTTATTGCCGCCAACAAATTGGCCATTACATGAGTCGGCTCACACCTACATATTCGGTTTCGGATGGGTCAATAAACTAAACGGCACCCCGAAGGCGATAAAGTTGATAGACAGGGGGGGAGGGGAGGGGTTAGGTTGTGGGTGTGGCAAGAGTCGGGGCAGATAAGCGCGATAAGAAGTCCCCCTTTTTAACAG